AAATTTGATGTGTGATCAACCGGACCCTTTCCGGCCAAACAGCCGTCCGAACCTGTCGATGGACGGAAATGTTTGCGATCATGTGTGATCGCTGTATCAGACTGCCAGCTCGGTCACCGGTCTGAGCCTTGAGGACTCCTGACTCCGAAAGTGACCGTCCGTGGACGGGTCACACTTCTCTTATCCTCTGAAAAGTTCTCACATCTAGGAGAGCTTTCTCATCGATCTTGAGTCTTGAGTCTTGACTCATCTGTGCAAATCCGCAACTGGTCACTTTATAACTTTAACATCAACGAACTGGGCGGTGGATAATCTCCGCGATTATGACACTGGGGTTGTTCAGCTACAAACCAATGATCATATGCAGCCGAAGTGTCGCAGGACGCATGCTCTAACCATTGTACTTCGACGTCGGATTCAACTTATGAACGCGCTTAAACTTTGGCAAGTCTCTCTATGTTTGAGACAGCAACTGCGAATAAACTAGCAGTCTAGCAGTCCAAGCGGCGCGCGGGCAATGGGGAGGAGTCCGGCCACATGGCTACCAAACAAAAGAAGCCCCTCGCATCAAAGGCGTATAACCCGTAACAAATAACCGGTAGCAGCAGACTGCCTTGCACGAATGTCCCTCTAATGATTAGCTTAGCAGCAATACCTTGCTTCAGCTATCTGATATCCCTCAACAGCAACACAGATTGAGTGCAAACGACATGACCTGGCAGCAAAGCGTGACTATATATCTAACCTCGTTGATCTCGCAAGCTCGAATCACTGAGTCCTAGCTGCGCCCCTGCTGTTTGCTCTCCTAGGCTCGCATCCTGCGTCCCTAAACCTGGAAGCAAATCGTCTAGAGGCATGAACGTACTCAGGCCGGCAGCTGACTGGCTACCCCCCCGTGGCGACACGTATGTCTCTTTGAACCAAGTGAGCGGGTCCTCGTCCGGAGATCCCGGCCTCTCTTCCTGCGCCCACAAGCCGCCATTTTCAACGCCTTCCCTCCCAGGACCGCTTTCCTCAACCTGATTTAGCGACCCACTAACTCCTAGCGTGCTGCTAACCCCCAGCGTGCCGCTAACCCCTTCTTGGAATGTGGATCCGCCCGGACGCAAATCGTTCTGAGCATTCCGCCCTTCCGCTCCCCCATCCGTCCTCATATGGTCCTCCGCTACTGCAGCACTAAGACCCCCTGCGCCTGCACCACCCATCCTACCTCCCACGTCATCATTCGCAGAAATGGTGCTTGACGCAGGCGGGGCCACGTCAGCACGCGCAGAGGCACCGCCAGCTGGCGCTGGCGGCGTCACGTCAGCAGCGGGTTTCTTTTGCTCCTTGGCCAGCTGCGCAGCGAACGCCTTCCGGAGCTTAGCAGCGTCGGCGTTTGCCGCGCCAGCACCGGAGGCGGGGCCGTCCCCGCGAGGAGCCGCGCCATTGGTGGGTGACGTCAGAGCTGCAAGAGCAGTCACGTCGCTGACGTTACTTTGTAGAACCGAAGTCGTAACGAGCGATAGCAAGGAGATGATTGTAAGATCAGACCGCTTGGTCGTCATGAAAGAGTTGTTGTGAGAACTCAAGGCAAGGCAGTGGCTCAAACCGAAGCCAAATAAAAGTCGGACTCATGCGACAGCTTAATAATCGTAAGGGTTTTGCTTTCACAAGAAGGGCAGCGGGCTCACCTTTGACCCTCTTCTTTTCGATAGCCACAAAGGCAACCCCGCTGGCGCCCTTCTTCTCCATCAATGACAGCTGTACGTATGTAACAGGAGGAAGGAGTAAGTCGGTTGCATTAGAACCCCTTGCTATAATAACCACCCTTGATAGGCAACAAAACCCCCTGCCCGCAGTTGTCCCATGTTTCCTCAATAGTTACTGTACCGCCCATGCCATGACATCGAAAGACCAGATTCCGTGCTCGACGCACAAACAGAGAAGCAGACGCTTGCATGCTCCCCGATGCCGTCACATCTACGTACCCCTTCGCGCACACCAGCGGTGCACTCACCCATTCCGACAGCCGCGTCCCCGGCAGCGCCGCGAGGCGGATCGTCTCCTTCCATTTCTTGGCGCGGCTCCCCGTGTGCGCCTCGTACTGCTGACACGTCAGCAGCTTCCCGGCGGCCCCGCATTGTGCGCAGCGGCAGGCCACCATGTGCTGCGCGGGGATGTAGTCTGCCTGCGTGCCGTTGCAAACCACCGGAACTGTGGCGGGTACTGCGCCGTCCTTCGCGTCCAGCCTGAGAGAAGCGATTCAGGACTGTTAGCCGTAGGTCCGAGAGCCGGGTTTTCAATACATTCCAAGAGCCAGGTTTTCAATTCTTTTGACTTGGGAAGTGAGAACTCATGGGAGTGTTCAGGCAGCGGATGAGTCACTCGAAGGGGGCGTCGATATACAGACTTCACGTCAAGGCAAGGGCTACGTTTGTAGGTTCGCCAGGAGATGCGACGAAGTGGTCGCAGAAAGGCGACGAGCAAGGTGGCAAGCCTGCTCTCAAGTCGCCTTTGGCTGATTGGTCATTCAATGCCCTCTTACCGTGCTTGATTGGTACGCCTCAAGTTGCTATTACAAACAATAGACGCAAACAGAAAATGTCACCCTTTCAGCAAACAGCTCTTTGCTGTGCCGTCAAAATTCTCTACGAAGTCGAGGCACACCGCGCACTGTACGGACCCTTGATTCCGACAGACAGGAACGGAGTTCAGTAACTGACTAAACGGAAAGTGCGACCTCTCCAAGACCAAAGAGAAAGGATGATCCAACTCTCAACCTGCTGAGCGACATAGTAACTCTTCTCTGCCGTTTTGACAGCACCGCAGCAAAGAAAGTACTTCGCTGGAGTGTTGTAAATACTGGAAAAGGCGCTGCCAAAGACGAAAAAGTGTCCCGCTCACCCCTCTGCCGAGAGCTTCTCCCCAAGCGGCGGCAGCGCAGGCATCACGAGCGGCGGCCGGGGCGGCCCCCCGACCTTCTTGCCCGCCGACTTCGGTCGCTTGATCGGGCCACCCTCCCCGTCTTCCCGTTTCCGCTTCAGCTTCTTCTTCGGCACCCTCGGCAGGCCGCTTTCCTCCGCACCCCCAACCCGCGCCATCTTCAGTTTCTTGGCGCCCTTTTGGAGCTTCCCGAGTCGTTTGAGCATCAGCGTGTGCTTCTCGCCGTTCTGCAGCGCCTTTTTGGGCTTCGGTGGGCCCACCCGGGTGGCTCCCCCGGGCCGCATGCTCTCGAACTTGCGCCGTTTACGGGGCTCGAGCAGCGTCACGCGGTGCTTGCGGGGGGTCGGGGGCGCGGTGCCTGGTCGAGACAAAGAGCACTTTTCAGTGGCACGATGAAGGAAACTATCCGTCGTAACAGAGCAGCAATATGCACGCTAGCAACCCCTTTGAGAAAGTCCTTTGTTATGCACGCAGACTTCAATTTCACGAGCAAAAGAATTGACCATTCCCAATCTCAAGACCCGGCTTTTGAGTACTTCAGGAGGAGTTGCCACTTCGGGCGATCCTCTCTCTTCAAAGCGGATCAGTGAGTCGCAGCTGTCTCATCCGTCGAAGAGCTAGAACTGGTTGATCTGAACGACCCGTTCAAATCTAGAACCTCCAAGCAGCGAGGAAGGATAACCGAGGGCTTGCCTTCTGGGTACGGCTCAGTGGGCGGCGGGAAGAAGCTCTTGGCAGCCTCCCAGTCGATGCCCATCGTCAGCAGCTCCATGATGTCTTCTTGCAACTCGTCAGGGGAGCGGGCGGAAGCGGCCGAGACGCGCCAGTACTGGGCCTGTAGGAAAAGCGGGGGCAAACTAAGATAAATGGCTCCTAGTCACGATGATGGACCCTGCAGCGGCCTCGAGGATAATTTCATCCAGAAGTGGCAAGAGGGGAAAACCGGAAGACTTGAACCGTTGATGGAAATTTGCAAACGAAGTTGCGCCTTGTCAGGCGAAAGTAGTATACAGTAACCAACATGTTCAAACCCCGTGAACATCATCAAAAGGAGTCTCTAATGAGAACAGGAGTGATTGATGGGAATCGGCAGGAGTCGCAAAGCCCTAAAAAAAAAGAATCCACAGTTGGCGTTAAAGAGAGGGCAACAAGGTTCAACGAAGTCAGGCCACAGCAACCTTGCATTCTGTTGTTTCGTAGCGCAAAGCTCTGCAGAGGCCGATGAAAAGATCCAGTCTGGCAGCCTACCTCTTCGCTCCACCACTGCGTGGTCACATTCGGCTTGATCTGCAACACCAAAGGGAACGGGGGAACAATTTAAGCACGAAGCCACCCAAAAAAGATGTAATAATAACCACAGAGAGGGTTCGGCACAGACACATTTTGGCACCGTTAAGGTCGGCGCATTCATGGCTGGCTCCTAATTGCATGTCATACCGAGAAACTTAACCCAGAAAGGAAGCCGACAGAGTTTACGCTCAATATCTACCGCCGCGAATCGTGTTCTTCCGATCACTGTTGACAATTCCAAGACATTAAAAAGGGCCATGATTCAAATTGTACTCCTCTCAAAGCTTACATCCCGAAGTGTAGACACTAATAGAAGCTTTTGGAAAGACCACATAACAGACTCCAAACTTTCCGGCTCAGCTTTTCTCCGAATCTTACAGTGGCTTGTAGTCGTTGCGCAATCATAGGCATCGCAAGTCAGCTAAGTGTGCCGCAACGCCTAGGTTCCTCTTCAGGATCTAGCTGCGGTGAATGATACCTACCTCTTGGGAGAGGAAGACGAGCATCATTGCCAGGTCCTCCACTGTCTTTGATGTGGCGACCGACGTGCGCCAGACCTGCCAGATCGAGTCGCTCTCCGTCACCAGAGCTTCCACCGGCAACCGGTCCTCTGCAAAGATGAATCGGTTTAGAATCTGCAATTCTTGGGACGCCCGATTATTTTGCCTTCCTTCAGGTGATGCAGACAACATGAGGAGCCCCTTTGGAAAACCGGCAGATCGTGAAGGTTCTGGACATATCGTTGAGTGTGATTCACTCCAAGCCCTGAAGGTTTGAACTGCATGGAACTTCAAAGTATGTATACAAATTGCTTATGCCGCCCTACGCAGTACTGCAACAGCTTGCATTTATGCTCCTCCAGGGGCGGGTAAAACAAATCACTTAGTTTTTGCCCAGATGTGATGTACCTTTCTCTTACTGAAGTATGACAATACCACCAAGTTTTTCAGCGTTTTCCAAAGGTTTTTCGTACAAGGAACTCCTTGTAGAAGGGACTTCTACCATCTGCAGGTCAATCGGCTTTTTGCCAAAACATGAAAGATTTGAACCGACACCACTAAGAAAGCATGCCGTGAATCATACAATCTGGACCCTCAAACAGGTAAAGCCTTTTCAAATTCACCCCCCTCCCGGTGCAGATGAGATGGACGTAAGTAAGCCAATCAACTGTGAGCTTCTGAAAATAATTCGGTCGTCCTTGATTCGAGGACTTTCTTATCCAAGCAGCAGCCTACCTTCCATCAATCTCAGGATGCGAAAAGCAATCAGGGACCGTCTCTTCAGAAACAGGCAATGTAGAGAGAGTGGTGGTACAGGGATCTGGAACAACTGCGGATGCGGAAATTGTGGGGAAAGATGGCTTTTGAACTACGTCCAATGGGCGCCAGAATCAAGCACGCGCTGCACAAGAAGGATGCATCAAGTATCCGTCTCAACCAAACCCAGATGCTTGTGCCGATCTAGGAAGGGACAGGTATCTTGGGCTCATACCACCTTTGAAATGGGCCTAGTCACTCGTAAAGCAAGTGAAAGGACCACTCTCTGAGCAGAAGAAAATGCTCACCAATATCGTGCATCGCCTTTCCCAGCTTCCTGAGCTGCTGAATGACCGGGTTCCCACTCTGCGACACTCTTCCCCCCCGCACTTCAGCCACCTCAAAGACCGCTGCCGACGAGCGTGCCTGCTCTTTTGTCGGGTCTTCCAAGCTGAACACAATCGACCCATCCTCAAAGTCGGCAATGTCAATGTCCTCCTGCTCTTCATTCTCAGGGTAGAGAACGGTCATCTTCGTGCCGTCATCTTTGAAGCCCCCCACCTGGCCCCGATAGAACGTCTGGTCGTCGTCCCAGAAAATCCAGATCGGCGTGCCGATCGGGAGCTCGGTCACGCTCTCTTTCTTCCCCATTGCCGGAGCCTTTAGAAGACGTTAGCAGCTTTCTATAAAAGAATCACCTTCAAAGACAGAATCAGTGATGAATCAGTGATGTATCATTTCTTCAGCAGGTCAGTGGGCACTTTCATCAAAATGGTTAGGACCTATCTCCCTCTGCATTGTCCTACCTAAATTTAAAACCTTCTTTCTTGAAGGACCATCAAACAGGCGTCGCTCAGCTGAAGGATCATCAACTGTACATCTTCACTTCACGTGCCTACCTATTGTCAGAAATTTGCGTTCATGAGTGTAGCTACAGCCTCAGGTCACAGCCTCAGGATGACAAAATGCATCATTCTCTGTACTGTGCTAGCTTGAGCTGTCCAATCCGATCGAACGGCATTGCGCTGTCGAAGTGACGGATTCGACAACATCGTGCGGTCTCAGCGACTTTCAGCTTACCCACGTGTTAGTACGTCAGCAGGCCCGTTTTGGCGCCAACTGTTATTGAACGGGTCAGAGAAGAGAACCCCGCCTCTAAACCAGTGATAGCTTTCACGGGCGTCAGCCTGACATGGAGGAAAACCTGACGGTGAAGAGCCAAAGCAGCTAGAGCCAAAACCAAAGCTTTGCCCTGTCCTTGTTTGGAGAAACGCCACAGCGCATCTACTTAGGAGAAAAATGGGGTCCACTGATGTTGCAACGTTTTCCAACACACTAGCAAGCGCAAAGTTGTTTGGTCAGCAACTTCATGTATCACAACAGGCCGCCACAGACAAGCTGCGGCCGCACCGAGTTGTAAGGAGTGCATGCATCGCTAGAAGGACACAATGTAGTTTGTGCAAAAGGGTTATGCAAGCCGGTTCAGGCAGAGGCTTTGGCGGTGGCACCGGGTCTAGGAAACATGCAAGAAGAAACACTGGAGAGCATGGGGGCTGGCAAAAGGTGTTGGAGCCCTCAAGAAGGAGTTCTGCCCCTCGAAGCACTCTGCAAGACGCTGAACGAGAGACGGATGTTGGGCGTGAGTCTGAAGACGTTGAGAAGATTAAGAAGGGGCTGATTGGCAGGTCGCAAGCACTGAAACTGGTGGACAAATATCTTGAGGGCGATGACGAACGGAGTGCGGTAGCTGTCGCGAGAGCTCTAGTGGGCATCGAGGGGGGTCTGCGTGCATTTGGCACGGCCCAACAGGTTCCGCAACGCCAGTACACGCTACAGGACCTGCGGTTGAATAAGATTGAGCCCGTGCGGTTTCTGTCACCCACAGACAGCACGCTGAATAAAGTCCGGACGTCTGCACAGGTTGCGCTTCTTTCTGGGATTGGTTCGCTGTACTACTTTGGGCACTGGGACATGACGCAGTTGTTGGGGCTGGTGGTCGGCCTGCTGTTCGTTGGATCCGTTGATCAGGTAAGTATGTTTTGGTGAAGAGAGAAACTTTTAGAAAGGTGTGCTTGGGTCTTATATTGTTTGCCATGTGTGAGACGGCGTTTTCAATAACTACCTGGTGCATTTGAAGTTCGAGATGGTCTCTGCCGCAACACTCCAATTGCCACCACTGCTAAGGAGAAACAACAGCAACTCCAGAGTTAATCAATTCTTCAGTGACTCTGCGGACAACGACATCGCCCAACAAAAACAACCCTGCAATCACTCCACACTACCAAGTTCTTACAATAAACTTTGCAGAAGTCAAAAATGCAGATTCAGACGCATCAACCCTCAAATGGGAATCAGGTGTAATTATTGATCAGTGCGATCTTCTTCACAGATTGTGAATGGTGGCGGCGGAGAGGGGCTGATTCTTGACACCGCCGGCAACCTGCTGAGCTCCCGGTACAGGGACCGCGTGAGCCAGCACGAGGCGGGACATTTTTTGGTGTCATACCTTCTGGGCGTGCTTCCCCGCGCCTACACTCTGTCTAGTCTGAATGCGTTGACGAAATATGGGGCGCTGAACCTGCAAGCGGGGACTCGTTTCGTGGACTACGACTTTCAAGAGGAGGTCAAGACTGGGAAGCTGCAAAGCAAGGTGAGCCGCGACTTACTGAACTTTTTGGTTTGTTGGCGGCATTTCAATCGGAGAACTTCCTGTAGTACAACTTTCTGCTTGTTCTTCCTACTAACAGGTGCATGAACACATGACGAGACTGATCTCAGATACTTTGCAAAAATCCGAGCTGGTCTGGGCAGCGAGGCCGTACGGAGTAGCAACAGGTGAGTTTAAACTCCTCCTGAGTTACTCGTTTGCTGTTCCTGAGGAATCGTGTATTTTTCCTGACAGTGTTCCTCCTCTGTTGCAGACGGTAGATTCTTTCACATGCATTGCGCTGGCGGGTGTTGCGACGGAGTACTTGAGGTTCGACCTTGCCGAAGGGGGCCTTAACGATATTAACCAGGTAAGGGCTTGCAGACGTTATAAGGAATGCACTACTGCCTCGGTTTTAAGCAGATCTTATATCTAGTCAATCGGGGCCTTCCACTCATTTGAAAGATTGTCAGCTTGCTGTCATTGCAAGTGGTAATTCTCTTGTTGGTGCTCATCATGTTCGCTTTTTTCCAATCAACCTGGTTTCCAGGACTTCGAGAATGTCCTTTGTCAGCCCCCGACGGATATACATACCATCTGTTTGAACACAAGGATTACCACCCTGTCTGACACAGCGTTTGAATGACCTGGAAGGCCTGAGTGTTGGTTTTGCCGTGAAGGTGGGGCTTCGTATCCTACTTGAACCTGCTTCTAAGGACTACACCTGCAAGACGCCCTCTCGATGCATTTCCTCTTCTCGGTTTTGCAGCTCGATTCTTTGCTTCGATCGCTAGGCTTTAGCCAGAAGAAGGCGGACTCGCAGATCCGTTGGGCGGTGCTGAACACTGTCACGCTGTTGCGGCGCCACGAAAAGGCGCACAGGGCGCTAGTCGGCGCCATGATTGCTGGGAAGTCAGTGGGGGAGTGCATCGGAGTGATTGAAGGCGAGTTGAAGAATGTTACTGATATCTGATTATGGTCGGAGGAGTTTGCGGAAGCTTGTTTTCTTGTCCTTGATTGATGCGTTGACTGTATGAAATGTATTTTAGGTTCGACAAGGATCACTTGATGTATCATGTTCGTGTGATTGGGAAACGAGTTAAAACTTGCTCACCAAGTAGGGAACTCAACCGGTATCTGACTGCAAGCTTGATTCACCGTCCAACTAGTGAGAAAAACTAGTTGTGCACAATCGTGCCCAGTAAATCGTTGGCTTCTGTTGACTCCGGGCCCTTGTATATGCGCTGCAATAATGTTCAATAAGCCTTGAACAGGTTGACCGTACGTCCATGTGCATGCATATCACTATAGGGGGATCCTCATGTAATGTTACTATAACATGCATGCGGGTACGTTGGATTGAACTAATAACGGCATGGATCGATCATGCATGATTCCGACACATGTGTTGCAATGTATCGCATGCGCCCATGCACGTGAGGATATATATGCCGCGCCAAGCTTGAAATCAATTTGGACATTGATGTTCAGGCTTGAGTATATAGTCTAGGACTCAGCTTGGCCATATATTATCAATAATTAGTCACTAGTGCATGAATGATTGTACGATTCATATACATTATTGCACAAATGGACGGTGCAGGCCTGTGGCCCAGACTATAGTAGGGGTCACTAACATGCATAGTTTTAGGTCATACGTGATCCGTCACAAAGTGAGCGACTGAGTCGGAGCAATTGCGCGCGGCTCCATCAACGCTGCCCTGTCTTTCAGGCCACACATTAATGGCAAGAGGCATTTACGCCATACCAAAAAGACCTTGATGTGGCTAATGAGCATGTGGGCTGACAACACGCGTCGTGACAACATCCTCTGCAACTGACAGTAGACTTCGCACATCACTAAGTGAATACTGCACCAACAGAAAGTGCCCTGCTAACGGAGTAACTCATTCACTTCAACCTACCACAAACATGTTGTAGACACCGTTTGCCGCATACGACGACGCTACTACCCCGCTACTCAGCAAAAGCATCCTACCGCTTGATAGCAATGATCCAAAACTCCTTCGCCTTCCGTCTCGAGCTCTGCGCTTTATCACCCTAGTACATTGCCGCCCCTCTCTTTCTGTTTCCGGTTTTACTCCCTCGCAAGGGAACACTGGGCTTCCCTGCCGCCCCTCTACCGCCGGCCCCACGCGCGGGGCTCCTCCTCGTCGTCACTGCCCACGTCACCATACTGCCAGATGTTGAGCCGCTCCTTCTTGGCCAGCTCCTGGTGCTCCTGAAGCGCCTCGAGCGCCTCCCGCTTCTGCCGCGACGCACCGCGCCCCGCCTTCTCAAGACGCGCCAGCCCGGCCTCCAGCAGGACCGACTGGATCGTCGCGCTCGACTCGGGGTCCACCAGGGTCACGATCATCCGGGGACCCACGCCCTGGCCCCTGTAACGTCGATGAAGTAAACTTCAGGAGCAGTCTTTGAAAGATTAAAAAGGGCTTGTTTGTAGCAAAAGGAAGCGCACTTTAGGCGAGATGAGTTTTCTTGGCGCAAAATGAAGATGAAAGCCGAGTTAGCTGCCGTCCAGACCCGTTGAACAACTGATGCAGCGGCTCTTGTCGGTTCCATCACGGCACTGAACCACGTCTTTCACATGCAAACAGTCTTAGGCAGAAGCCGACTGGCAGATGTCAAACTCGAGATCCACGCCCGTCAAAACCCCCGCTCATAGCCTCTACCGCCACTTTCGAAAGAGCATAACGAAACCTCGGGCCTTGAACAAGCAAAGCAATGCCAAGTAAGGTTTGCAACCTCGCGCATTCACATATTGTGCTGGTATTATCCGTGCTTATGATCGGATCGTTCTTTCAGCGACTCGACTACGGCCTAACCGACACCGATTACAAATTACACGCATGAAAATACGCAAAGTTGAAAGAAAAGCGATTCTGGCACAGGCGCTCACTTGGTCCTGCCGGCGGAGTTGTCGCGCTCCTCGACGCGCGCGACGAGCTTCTTGTCGGCGACCGTCTCCTGCAGGAGCTGGGCTGCGTCGACGCCGAACTCCTCGTCGAGGCCGGGCACCTTGACGTGCGCGAGCGAGCACAGGTGGCTCTGCTGCGGCACCGCCGCCAGGCCCGGCTCCATCGGCCGCAGCCGAGAGACGGGCAGCGTCTCCTTGTTGCCATAGTCCACGTAAAACACCTGGAGACAGAAAAGAGTACTAGTTGGTCAGCTGGGTACCAGGTGAGGGACGGGGTGGCCGTGACACACTTGAAGAGCTGTGGGCTAATCCACATGATGGTGTGATGAGCCGGGGACGACTGATTGCGATCGATGACCTCGAGTTTTGCTGTGCCGATTCCGTCTCTTGATTGGAGGAAGGCGAGCGAATGAGTCAGAGTGCCGCTTGACGGCTTTGACAGATCATCGGACTCGATTCCAGTCGTTCCTTCCGTGACAGGTCGTCCTCCGACAGGTCAGAGCTGTCTCCCTCTTAGAGTACACCTCAGCTGCACAAAAGTCGGATATCATCCATCTGGATCACTGTCCCTCATCACATTTCCAAAACGTCGAGAGCCCTAAACCTAATGGCAATGCAACCCTGCCCCCTTACCTCGTACTTGTCCCCCCCGGTCCCCGTCGCCTGCTTGGGCGCCTCCACAATCAGCGCGCGCGCAAAACTGTCGTCCAGTGTGAACTGGCCCAGCACCAGCTCCCCTCTCTTTGGCGCAAATGCGCCGGCGGGCAGCACTTTCTCCTTCAGCTTCAGCCCCTCGAGCTGCGCCTCAATGGACGAGAGACGCGAGTCGCTCTCGACTTGCGCGTAGAAGCGCGACCCGTCGACGACTTCGGTCACGCGCACGTTCAGGACTTCGCCCTTGGTGTCCGACGTGGAAGCCGCCTCCGCGGCGGCCTCTGCGGCGGGGTCGTAGTTCTCCCACACCTGCGGCGGTGAAGTTAAGGACTTCCTTTGCGCGGACCAGATTCAGATTCAGAGTTTTACAGTCTGGATTACAAGTTTGCCAAAAGCAAGCGGACCAGTCCCTAAGCAAAGCCATACGGTCTTGATCACACGTGCGCAAAAGCAAGCGGATCAAGGGTCACAGTACCCGTCGAGTCGACTCAGGCTGTAGGGTTCAAGGTGGAGCGGATGAACAGGGCGAGAAGGATCAAAAGGTATGTGAATTTGACACAATACTTTTGAATCCAGAAATTTCTGCTCCAAATGCTCTGGCATGCTCTCAAACTAGCGGACAGCCGACCTAGATCAGATCCAAGACTGCCGCTTCTTGACAAGCAGAATCGCCAGGACATTCTGCTTCTAAGTGATACTTCGTGAAGCGGGGATTGATCTTGCCTGCCGAAACTCCTCCGATGGACCTCACAAATGAAGCAGGTCAACTTACTCTTGGCTCCGAATAACGACATTGAAAGAAACAGAACATAAACACAAGCCCCGCTCACCTTGACCTTGTGCGTCCTGGCCTTCTCCTCGGCCCGCTGCAGGTCGACAGCGCTGGCAGTCCGCGAGGGGTCGAAGTTGGGGTGCAGCTTGGCGAGGCCGTTCTCGAGCAGCGCCACCGCGACGTTCACCTTGTTCTCGAACAGAGACCCCAGGAACGTGCCCGTCTTGTCCACCGTCTCGACCTCGATCTGAAGAATCAGGGAAATTTTGAACGCCTCGAATGAAATGATGCAGATACTTGTAAACGGAGGTTGGAAAAACGTTTTGGAACTGTTTTTCCTGAGTTAAGGAATAGCCCACGAGGGGACAGGGTACAATAGTACGAGAACCAGTGTCGCAGCAAGAGAGGGCTACCTGACATGACCGGCATATGAACCGACGCAGATTATTGAAGCTTAGCCGCTGGCTGGCCACTCGCAACTCTGAGAAAGGCGGATCTCAGAAACACAGCCGCAAATCCAACGCCCGACATGTTTGAGTTTGAGTGGCAAAAACAAATGCGGATCCATGGCAAAGTATAAGCATCGTGCCCCCACAAACGAGTGCATCGCTCCGATTCCCGTTCCGCTGAGTCTCGGATAAGAACGCCCACCTCGACGGAGCGCTGGGAGATCCTGCGGCGCATGAACGCCAGGGCCTCGTCGGCGAAGGGTTCACCCCTGCCGGGGCAGCGCACGCCCGCTAGCGAGAAGGCGACAGCGACGCTCTCCTTGGGGATGATCAGCTTGAAGCGGTGCCCGCTCAACACGTAGTCTACCACCGCGGGCTGCCGCCCGCTGCGCTGGAGGAATGGCAGGAACTGTTTCGCCTTGGCGGCCGCAGTCTGCAGAGCGAAGAAAGATGTGGTCAGTCTTGGAAGCAGGAATGCAGAGTAGCTAAGTCCGGCCTGCGTGAGACGAACAACGGCTTGAGGTGCACTGTAGTTTCGTTCCCCGAAGTGACCCCTTCTAGGGTCGCTGTGCTTGGAAGCCAAAGACATTCTTGGTCGAGTTAAAGCACATGACTACCGCATGAATAAGTGAACCTCCATAGCACAATTCTCAAGCCAGCGCTGTAGTAAGACCCGTCAGGCGGTGTTTCAACATGCGCAACTCTGCATCTGCGAGGGGCACGCACCCTGTCGGAGATGTCGTTAAGATGCGCAACGGGCGGCTCCTTGGCAGAGTGCATGCCGGCCTTCTTTTTGGTGGCGCGCGCTTCCGCTGCAACCAGGTTCTCGTAGTACGTCGACCGCTCCTCGAAGTCGCGGTGCCGCACGACCGTCGCGAAGCCCCGTCCAACCACCATCTCAGCGACGTTGATGCCCTGGAAGGAGAGATACCAAGAAACTTTAAGACAAGGTGAGTTGAGCAAGGGTGTTTGGAGCATGCATCTTTTCACTCAATTTCAGATGCACCCTTGGCGTGTGATAAAGTAGGTGCGCCAAACAGGAACTTGAGATCGAGAGAAATATTCCAAAGCCCGGCCCCACTATTCTTCCGGCGACGCTGCTGCCCTGCCCAAACGACCTCATGACAGTAGAGATCAAAACCGTTGCCCAATCGTGTGGAAGCTCCTTTCTTCGAAACCCTCGCCTTCGCCAGCCTTTCTCAAAGCGAACCTTCCCAATAGTGCTTCATTCTATCTCGACTCTCAAACGCGTTAAAACGATCCCAGCATAAACGACGTGGTCCAAGATAGCACAGAAAAGCTCTTGCTGAATACAAAAATCCTACCTTGCAATGTTTCGATAACTGTCGTTACTATTCAACTATGTGCCGCCATGCCAATCATGTGCTCCATCCAACGAGGCCTGGAACGGTTATGATCACACTCACAGGCGCTGGCGCTTCTCCATTGGCTGTGGGCGCAACGGTGGCCCCCTCTGCGTCCTTGCTCTTGTCCAGCAAAAAGAGGGATCCGAACTCCATGTTGCGCTCGCCGCCCGGGGCTGGTACGGGGCCGTCGGTAGGGGCCACCTTGCGGGTGTACTCCATCTGGACTGCCACCTGGCAGCCGTACAAGATTTCATGTCAGTCGGGCACACAGTTGACATAGGAACCTTTTCCAAACGTGGGAAGCGCAGGAAAAAAACCTTTTCCTAAAGTGCAACGCTGATCAAGAAACTTCCAAATGTACATCGTCCACCCAAAAGACATCAAACATACCCGTGATGTCTTCATAAGTACTCAAATAATTGAGACAGGCCAGTGGCCTAATCACGTAGCAAACCAACTCCGTGAACATGTTGAGGCTGACAGGGCAGCCCATATTCCGTTAGCCGTTAGCTGCTCGGTTCTCCGCTTGAGAAACGCCAAAGATGTTAGTGCAGGGCTTTCTGACCTGATTCTGCAGACTTCTGGATTCTGAAGACTTCTGAGATCTTGGGGCTGCTGAGATCCAAATCCCAAAATTGTAGAGATTGGGGATCGTCCACTGCGGCTCACCTTCTGGCCGATCAAGCGCGAGCGCAGAAACTCCTTGGCCTCCCGTGCATGCGGCGCAGGCTTCTCGTCCCGCCGCGGGTTGCCGACCTTAGGCGCCCGGATGCTGGACAGGTTCACACGCCGCTCCGCCAAGGGGGATCCCTCTGGGGCCGCATCGTCCGCCACCACCACGCAATCTCCGCTGACCACCTCAATAACCTGCAACACAAGCCACCAAGTAAAAGTCTTCTGGTGTTCGAAGGGAAGGTAGCAAAGGGCGATCTGTAAGCCTGCCAAGACCACCCAACATCAAAGAGCAAGGATCAGGGTCCCTCGATGACGATTCTGTGGATGGCCTCCAATCCAGAAGTCCAAAAGTCTCCTATCTCAGGCCCTCGCTGAAGAAGCGAAGAACGACACATTTCTCGCACCAGGTGACGTACAAGCATCACCAGCAACTTCACCGATCGTCTCATTCCAAAAAAAATAGATGCTTGAGACTTTCTTTGGAACCAACGCTAGCGTTATCCGCGATTCGCGTCGTTTACCTACTGATATCCGTCCTCGGGTGTGTATAAAGAGAAGCGGCTGGAGCCACATAAGGCAGGCCCGTCAGCATAGCAATTTGCAGCAAACATGCAGGAGTAACGTAGAACAACCGCTGCACCCCAACGGAACTCCCCCCGGTGAAGGCTGAAAGAAATGCTCACGACGCCAGTGAAGTTGTCGTCCCTGACGGCCACGGAGTTGGACGGCGCCGGCACGAAGTTGACCCAGAGGCGCAGTTTGTCCAGCTTGGCCTGCCGCTCCGTCGCCTTGAGCTTCTCCTTGGCCAGCGGCTCCAGCATCGCTGCGCTCCACTCCACAACGCGCGCCAGCCCCTGCAACCAGAAAGAACAGTTCCTTAATCTCTGTAAGAGTGCCCTACGGATGCAGCATGGCCGCATCTCATTCCACAACGCTCGCCGGCCTTCGAAGAGCTGGGCACCACAAATGATCCCGTGACGTTTCTCCAGAAGGAAGTACGGGATGTTCAGGAGTTGAATTTACAAGACGGGTCGACCCCCGCTGAGAACGATGCCGAAGTCGGGTGAACGTTCACCTGGTCGAGATCGGATGGATAGAGGCATGCGGTGTGAGGGCACAAGCGTGCGGTGTAAGGGCGAAGGCAAACATCCTTGATTTTTGAAGCTCAAAATACTCGCCAAGCTCAAGCCGTGCACCAATTTTCCGTTAAAGTCGAGGAGTTGTATTCGAGGTCAGGAGCTACAAGTTCATGCAGAATTTCAAAGTTCGGCAGGATCAACGCAGTATTCTGCATTGGCGAATCGCAGCAGTGGGCCAATATGGAACGCAGCAGTGAGCCAATACGAAAAGCATTTCAGACATGCCCACCGAGTCGACGTACACAGGACGTGCGAGATGCCAATCTAACTGAATGCTGACGTACCTGGCTGACAAGTTGGAGGGCGAGGTCCTGTGCCACGTCATTCTCCGAGTAAAAGATGGACCCAAACAAGTTGTTATACTTGTCGACTCCGTCGAGGACGATTCTGACGTCCCGGTGCAAAACCCTGCAGCAACAGTGCAGGAATTCATGGTGGATATTCAAAATGAGCAACGCCTGTCGATGTAGCAATCCTTCAATTTGTCGGTGAGGGCTCAGACAGATTGGAGAGGAGAAACAATGAGCATCCTCTGTTGACCGGTTGAAGGGTCTGCTCAATCAGCTGGAGCGGACTCCAGTTGGAGACTCCCTCTGAAACCTTAGCTTCGCCTAATGTCCTAACCGCTTCTAGACCACTACGCTACTAGCAAGAGAAGCGTCCCTCGAGTTATGCAGGACACAAAGCTAGCTCTTCAAAAGGGAGCAGATTCCGAACCAGCAGCATGACAGCGCACCTCGTTTCCGTGAAGTGCTTCGCTTCCCTAGCGAACGGGTCTGGCGCAACCTCCACCGGCGCATTCGCAGCGGCCAGCCGTTGAGCTGAAGTGAGGGGCTCCGAAGCAGCTCCCGATCCACCGTTGGTCTCGGCCTTGGCAGTTTCCGGCACGGCCTCGACGGGAGGAGGCCGCCTACCCATTGACGGACACTACAGAGAGGTTCAAGAACGTTCGATGCTTCGTAATCTCAGCAGGTGTCACGTTCCTTTTTGTTGTCCGAAAGTCAACACGTGCCTAAACGGGCACCCTGAAGGCGTTGATTCCGCCATCTCAAGCGGCCCTTCTGAAGCTATTGCTGCCGCAATCAAGTCTCTGCAAAGCTTATCTTCGGCTTGATCTTTAGAAAAACAGGCAAATGGGACAAATGATTCAACTACTGTCCGCAGAAACGGCGTTACATGTGACATACCTGGATACCCGTTGTATAGACCTGTACGAACTGGTAGCTTGGAAGGAGCCAGACCCGGATCGTGCTGCCATCCCGAACCATCTGCATCGCCATGGACAAGCAACGCCATCTAAGAGTGTGGTCGCCAGTACAGGGCTAAAAGAAAGGTGCAGTCGTTGCGAGCAGAGAGTCACTTGAAGATTCATCCAGTGGGTTGACGGCTATTTCTTGTCAGGAAACGAGGTTCCATGTGCTCCCCTGTTGTGTACCATCCATTTCAATCAGGAAAAAAATCTGTAGATTCCCGTGTCAATACTCTACTTAGAACTCCCTGGGTCGGAAAGAGGTTAGAGAGCCTACCTCCACAAGAGCCGGGATGGCCTTCCCCTTGCATTCGTCGAGAAGCCCAAGTGCGTCGAAGGTGCTCCCTTCACCCACTCCCGAGGGCGGAAGGTCGCGCACTGAGGCCTCTGCTGCTCCCGGGGTTTTGTTCCACATGCCCAGGCCCTGGCTCTGCGCCTGCTCCTCCGCCTTCACAAGATCCGCCAGGTACGGGCTCTGCTCCGACTGAGCATTCACCTGGGTTTTAACCTGCCAGCAAAAATGAAGACTTATTAGTATGCGTACGTTGAACCACATGATAGCAATATATAAATCAGGGTTGACAAGTAGCACACAGAGTGCATCTGTTCCTCGCACATATCCCCTATCCCTGCTCAAACAACGACTTGGTCTCTCAGAACTGTCACTCGCATCCAGCTTGAAGTTTGCCAACGCATCCATCATTAAGTGACGACACTGTGCGCTCGGTTGACATTCATAGACACATAGCATATAAGTCAGATACACTCCCATGGACCTTCGCAGCCGCAACCACAGGTGCAACACCGGGAACATCCCGGAATTGACACTAACATTCCAACTCATCGCTTACTCTGTAGAAACGAGCAGATCGGAACAAGGATTCCCGATGCCAATCATGTAGCGCTTAGCTGCAAATGCTCACCCTGGCCCATCCGTTTGCCACCACATCGAGCGCCAGATTGGTGTCATCCATGAAAACGCTGCCAAACTCGCGGTTGATGGACGGCACAGCATAGTCCACCTTGAAGACCACCGCCTTGCCAATGACCTTCTTGCGCAGGTACTCGCGGCTCTGCCACGCCCACGGCTCATCTTTGGTGTCCCGGCGAGCCTGGAGGGGGGAGAGAGATGAGTGTCAGAAACGGCAGTAGAGGGGACAATCTGGCGAGCTTGCTGGTGGACTCGACTGTGCGAGATAGAGGAGGGCTGATGGGATTTCAACGAGTAATGATTACTCGCGCGTCCTCGCAAAAGCAGGGGCACTCCGGTGAAGACGGCTGGTTTTGATCAAGGAGGTGTACACTTAGCAGCACAGTCACCATGATCAATTCAACCGATATGCACGCCTAACCCTGACAATTGCAAACCCAAGTGGAAACCCTAGTTTCCACTTCAGATTTCAAGAAAAACTCGGGTGGTGCAGAAGATGATCAATCTGCTTTGTATCTCTTTAAAGCAGCAATTGAAGGAGCACAATGAAACAAAAGCACAGTCATATGTGGCCTAGCGTCTAGTGAGCAATAGCTTTGCAAGGACCACCGCAAAAGTGGTGCACATTGAATGACGGCTACATTGAGATTTAAGAGCACCACGTGAATGCAGGTTCGTCAAACAACTTGCTAAGTCTGCATAGCTATGCACTGCAAGATCCTCATGTAATCAACGCACACAAAGCAGCACCTCAAAATCCTTATTCAGGCTCACCAATCGAGGGCTCATCAGTGAGGAGAGTGTGATAGTCTTCTCAGGAGGTGGTCCGCTTTTGACACTGCCTACAATTGTGAGGCAATCTCCAGAGGAAACAGCTTTCACAGTGCCACGGAGCCATTGTCCCTGAGCCATGGTAAGTGGTCCTGCAAAATGCGTATAATCTTAGTCTAAGCAAGTTTCCAGCTGATTTGCCAAAACCCTTTTCTGAAAAATATGCTCTTAATGTGACCGCTAACTATCCCAAGGAATCTAGGCACCCATTGAAAAATGGACAATGACAAGCAGTCCATTTACTTTTTGGATTGCTAGCTCAGATTGGCTTTCAGAAAGCAATCAATGCATCAACGGCCTCAGCCCGCTGAGCTTACAAATCAGCAAACCCACAACCTCATTGCAGCTGAGAGTCTCAATTCCTGGTGCACACTCACCTGAATAGCAGCTCACTGGCTCCTTCAGATCGTAGAATTGGGACAAAAAGGACGAAAGGGATGACTATTCCTCCTTGATTGGAAAATTGCAGCGCCCTATCCTCTTCTTCCGAAATCGGAAATGGAAAATGTAGCCTTCAGTGCAGGCCCCAGGGTGTTCCAAATTCCAATATCTTTGACGGGTGTTTGACCGTCGATGAAACAGTTCTACTCACATATGTGAGTATTTTAGGCTGACATAGGCGCTCATTTTGGACCACCTTAAATCATCGACTCGATGATGTGTGTATTTATAACTTTTCCTGCAAGCGCACAATTAAAACAACGAAATTGCATTGTCACAGGGCATATTGGGGCATTTGTAGCAGGTTTCAAAGTTACTCAAGCAAATGCTTGTCAAGTCAAAGATGACACAACACATCTCAGCTTAATCGACGGTGAGTGTTGCAAGCACGTGCCTGGTTGGTTGGTTTTCGCAAACTTGTCTGAAGGCTCAACTGCAATCAGGCAGTTGATCGTCGAAAGCCGAAACCTTAGACGATCGATAGAAGGTACCAGATGCAGCAGATGAACTCTTTGCCTCTAAATTGACGCTTATGTATGTTGGATCGACCTAGTGCATGAGATGATACATTGGTAGTCTGCACGTCTTGATGGTCCTACTGCAACAGGTACTACTAGGCTGGTGCCAGTAATGGATGGAAAACCTGGAAGAGGCCCGCCTTTTTGTACTAGATTTCGACAAGATCTTCCATAATGATAATGTGTAATGTACCAATGGAAGCTTCACCACACGACACGTGGTCCAGGCGGTTCAATGACACGACCCTAGCTGCTGGTTTTGCATGAGACTGGATTTTGACCATGAATTTCTCAGCCCTCGACGGGGCCCTCGAGCTCCTGCCAGTGCCAGCAGTGTTGAAGGCCGCTTCCGTGCTGCGGCAATGAGGTCTCTGCAAAAAGGGATTGCGTCATCGCGTAATTCAGTGCAGTGGGGACACAGTCTCCTGAGTCCCGGATTCCAAAATTTTCAAATTCGACCGCGTTCTATGAGAATCAGCTCAGTGATGATTCACCTACCTCCTACATTGCAGCTTCAGTTCAACTTCAAGCTCGTTCAAAAGGAGGCTCTTTTGTCTAGGGCTGGGCTGATTTGTATCGAGTTTGATTAGTACCAGGCCGGCGGAACGAAGAATCTCAGGGCAGCAATGTTGGTTGCAGGAACGAGGTTCAGGGGCTCTGAGCGCATAAACCTATGAGTTTTCTCATCAGGACGGAATCAGGAAGGCAGTTGAAAGGAACCGACTTGAAGGCAGTGACATTCTGGTCCTCGAGCTTGAAGAAGGAACATTGAGCAACAATGCGCTTCAAGGTTTGTCTCTCACACGGGATCTCGATCGGGCTCATGCAGATGCTTTGTTTGATTGATGACGTCGTTCTAGCTATTAACTCTGCATAGCCTGATCAATAGTTGCCCAACTCGCATTGAAACTCTTACGTGCCTCAATCTACTGGGCTAATCTATCATGCTGGAGAAAGATGGAAGGGCACCTTTCTGGCGGCATTAGTTCCGCCACTTATCTTGGAAGCCTGTCATGTAGCTCGTGAAGGGGGAGGCGGCTGGTGTCCGGTTAGCCATTCTGAACACTTCTAGAAACCAGCTTCCGTTGCACACGAAGATTGATCTTGTGGACTTGCTAGCTGCCATGGTTTGCAGAATCATGGTCTATTTGTATTGTGAAGCTGCTGACTTGATCTTGCAGGAAGTATAATCCACTGCGAAGCTGCACAACAATTGTGGGCTATGTAGGTTGTGGGTTTTGACATGACTGTTGCATATGGACACTAGGAAGCAGCTAGGCGAAACCAGAATCACAATTCTCAAAGGCTACAGTCGGTAGATTCAAAGTTGCATAGTAAGCAACGAGTTCCAAACTGGTACAGTAGCGGGTCCAGATCTGGGTTGATGCGACGCAGGAAGCTCCAACGATTTTAGGAGTAGATTCGTGTTCTGGCAGGAGGTCAAGATGAGTGAAGAGATAGACAAGCATGTCCTAAGAAAGTACGAGATCCTTCAGAAGCTCGGAAAGGGCGCCTATGGCATTGTTTGGAAAGCTGTTGACAAGAAGAGCAAGCAGACGGTGGCGCTGAAGAAGATCTTTGATGCCTTCCAGAATGCAACGGATGCTCAGGTTAGTTGTGCTTGAGGCTTCCTTGAGAGCTTGCCCGAGCAACTCGGGGCTACTTGAGGAGCTCGACAAAATCAAGTTCTTGTAGAGCTGTAAGACCTGTGCAAGGGATCTCTAGAGACGTGACTTTACAGTGGTTAATACCAGAGGCCTTTCCGACTGCGTTGCGCAGTTGTTGGTCTGTTTACTTTGATAGTCTTGTAGTGTGGTTAAGTCATGGGCATGGAAGAGGGCGTCCAGCTCTGCCTAATAGAGCTCTGAAACCCTTCCCAGAAAGTAGAGTCGTGCTGACCAAGCCCCTATTGAAACCATTAGTTCTAGCTCCAAACGTTGCAGCTCTCAGCATTATTTTTGTCCTCGGAAAAGGTGTAAACTTTTTGAAAGGCGTGAAGTTCAGTTCAGAGATCGTGTCGACGTCCATTTTCTGATACGTGTCGCTGCATTGGCACTGCAGAGAACGTTTCGAGAGGTGATGTTCCTGCAGGAGCTGACCACTCACGAAAACATTGTCAAGTGAGCAACGTCACCATCTCCTCAAACAAGTCAGCATGGTTTGGCAGCTAAAACGGCTGCATTTTCGGTGGGCCATGAAAAATCCATCAACTTGGATGACGACTCTCGACACGGGAATCCTTCAGTTGGAAAAGATTCACTAGTCCTCCAGCGCCTCTGCACACGTGCTTCAACTGTTTTGCAATCTATGCAAAGTACTTTACTCTCCCTTAGAGGCGTCACTCAAACACGCTCAACTAGAATCTGAAGATCTGAACGAGCTCAACTCGACCTTCCAACACGAGTGCTAGCTGGTCGCTGGAGTAAAGAATGTGGCAACGAGGAGCTTAGTAGTGGTCCGTAATGGCTGGCACCACACAAATAATTTATGTCTTCCTAGCGTCCAGGACTTCCTTCTACCTTTGGAAAACCCAATCTTTCAAACATTTCGCTGAAATGAGAGCTTTGCTGCAGGTTGTTGAACGTCCTCAAAGCGGAGAATGATCAGGATCTGTACCTGATCTTCGAATTCATGGGTAAGGAACGTAAAGGCCGTCATATCACTCCATTGCAGTGCAGACAAAGTTGCTGTTGACATTACGACCTTTGCTGGCGCATTTGGACAAATAGTCAATAATCTAAACTTGGTTAAAGACCAGCGAAGAGGCTGTCTGCAGGCAAGCGAAGTTCTGTCTTCTTGATTGACGAAACATTCGGCTTTCAGCATGAGATCGGCATAATTCAGACTTTCTCTCCTAAATGCTCAATGCAGAGACCGACTTGCACGCTGTGATCCGGGCAAATATCCTGGAGGAGATTCACAAGCAGTACACGATGTACCAGCTATTCAGGTGTCTCAAATACATGCACACAGCGGAGCTCCTTCATCGAGACATAAAAGTGAGTGAGGAAGAAAGTATATCCCTTTAGCAAGCCTGCAAGTGGTTTCGAGCAGTCAAGCATTCGGTCGAAGTGTAAGGAGAAGCGTGGCCTTGATATGTGAGAAAGATATGATACATTTTTACCCCTTCGGGGCAACAATCAAGTGACCGGAATCCCCTGACTTGATGACGAAAATGTTCATGGATGCAACTCTGAAAACGCATCTCCTTCGTGCAGCCTAGCAACCTCCTGTTGGATTCTGAGTGTCAAGTCAAGGTCGCCGACTTTGGTTTGGCCCGGTCGGTCGCGCAGCTCAAGGACGAGGCAGGGCCTAACCCTGTGTTGACGGACTACGTGGCGACCAGGTGGTACAGGGCCCCAGAGATTCTATTGGGATCGGCCAAGTGAGCAGTCTCAGCACTCGTTTGAACAGGCTTGCAATACGCATATCTTCCAAGCGATCAATTATATCTGACGCGTGATCCCTTGCCGACAGTCAGAGAGAAAGGACGTACTCCGAAAGTTGAGTGCACAGTCGAAAATGGATTTTCCGATCAAAGAGCTTATCTGACTTTGTTTGACGTCTCTTTTGAGCAAGTCGAGTTCTACGCAACCAGATTAGACGAGGAATGCACGAACAGATAGCTGAGCTGAGATGCTGGGAAGGAGGAGCGGTTTGAAACGCGTCACAAACATCCAACTTCAAGTTCTTTGAGTTTTGAAGTCTGCGATCCAGAGGGACGTAAGCATCTCATATCTGCCTTTGCATTCGCACAGACTGCAGACCCCTCGAGATCAGCATTTCACGTTCCTGTCTGCAGGTATACATTTGGGGTGGATATATGGTCCAGCGGCTGCATTTTGGGGGAGCTTTTGGGGGGCAAGCCCATGTTTCCAGGTCGGTCTCTTTTCTCTGCTCAGACCTGTGGATTCTGTGCCCATTGTCTTCGCACGTCGATCTCCTTCCACTCCATTCCAATGTAACCGGAAGCAAAAAGCATTTGTCTTTGATTCCAAGCCCGGTCGATGAGAACCCTGGGATACTCCAGCACTCGATTGATGATTCGTTTTGGTAGCTATCTACACCATGATTAGAATAAAGTGCTTGTTCAGATCGTGCAGCCTCGATCAGTACGGATTTGCCTTTCCGTTCTTCTCAAGATCCGCCCGACCGTGATTCTTGCTTCCGGCATTTCTGCAGGCAGCTCCACAATCAACCAGCTAGAAAGAATATTAGAAATCACCGGCCGGCCAAGCAAGGTACGGACCTCTGCGCAACCAGGATTTGCATGGCCGTAAAGCGAGTTCCGTGAGACTCGCGTTTATAAAGAGCAACTCCCATTTTACCCGTGGCGAATTACAATTTCAATGAAAACGATTGCCGCCTGTCCGATTCGATCTGCTGCTCCAAGGCGTCTTCCAGCATGCTTCTGCCCATAAAGTCCTAAAAGTGGGGCTCCCTTTAAGTGATCGGAACCCATTTCTGCGCACCCTTGGTCTGGTCTGATAATATCGATTGGATTGATGTCCACAAAAAGCGACGTCCCTGTCTCATCCATGATTCACAGCTGCTACGTCATCTGTTCTGATACAACTGTGGTTCAACACTGCTCGAGATTCAAAGGTTTTGCTTTTAGAAGGGACCTACTATCAGTCAGATCCACCAATGTCTCCAATTGGCGCAGGACGACGTTGACGCCATTGGCTCGCCCTACGCATCTACCATGTTAGAAAGCCTCTCGCCGCCCGCGAAACGGTCGCTGCGCGACTTGTTCCCGAGCGTGTCGCCCGAAGCGGAGGACCTGCTTAGAAAACTGCTCCAGTTCAATCCGCACAAGCGCATCACGGCAGAGGTAAGGGACACGTCGGTTCTATTTAGTACGCTAGGCATTCGGCAAATGCCTGCGCTGCTGTTGCGGCAGTAAGGGTTAGCTATGGTGGTAGGATGAAGATACTGCGCGGCATCAACCATTACGAGATCCGCCTGTCAATTGGCTCATCCACTTCAGGTGCACGCGACCAAATGATTCAGCTTTTCGGCCTAGCCTCCTCTACACTTGCTTGACGGCGTCAATCTTTCCTCTGAGATACTCGTGTTGGTCGAGACACGTTACGTTGGGTGGCTGATAGCCAAGTGTTGTCCCTTTTACAGGAGGCCCTCCGGCATCCGTACGTTGCTCAATTCCACAATCCAACCGACGAACCCGCCTGCGATCACATCATTACCATCCCCCTCAATGACAACCTCAAGTGAGCCCTGATGAAACATCAAGCATTGCACTAAGTAATGAATTCCTCGATCCTTTCTGAGAAAATTTCCGTCTGCTTCGTGCCACTTTTCACTTTGAGTCTCCGAGAGACACCCCAGTCCTATGAGTAGCAGCAAGATCATACAAATAAGAATCAAGCCGCGCGGTGGGAGTGGTTCATTCTGCGAGACGGGGTGTTGACCCCTTTCACGGCTTGCTGCAGAATCTCTCTGCAAGAGTACCGGGAAAAGCTCTACGGGGAGATCGTAAAGCGGAAAAAGGAGATTCGGAGGAAGGAAAAGGAGCGAGCATCCAGTCACTCAAGAACCCATGCCAGAAGATCAAGCACGAAGTAGGAAAGGAGTACTCGTCTCAACATTGCGTCCATCAGCCCGTACAGCTAGATAATTTCGTGTCGCTGGAAGACTACCACCTCAGCAGACTTCCTTAACATACAGAAAGCGAACATTTGCGAGGGCCGAGGGTCTTGGTACCTCGCTTAATGCAAAAGCCTTGTTGCAGATTGTGTGCTTGGAACTCATACGCCTAGAATAGATCTAGACTAGAAACATTCTTGGTTGCATGCGGACTCGGGCAGTCCTTTTGCAGCCTTAATAAGAAAAAGCCTACGTTGGCTTGCCCTTAGGTATAAGTCTGTGAGAGTCCTGTACTTGTGAACAACCGTTTTCGAAGACCAGGATGATAAAACGGGTTAGCTAGAACCTGGAGCGCAAAAAGTGCGTGCAGCACTTTGTTAAGTATTGAACCTTTGGATGTCTGGTTTGACAACGCACCTCTCCTTCGTTGACGAATTTCGTGACCGCCTGCACCGTCTGCTCTTTTCTGGTCTTGACAGGCGGGCCGGCCGCGGCGGCAGCATCTCTAAAATCACTATTTTCAAATTAAACGCCGACTCCGGCCACTCAATATAACGCGGGTGTATGGTCACTTGCCAGCATGTTTGATATTTGTCGAATTATAAACTGTCCCCATGACACCATGCATAGTTGGCAGTCTGGTTACTGGCAGGTTTCATGTGTCCTACAAAAACCACTCAAAGACGCGGATGCTATAGCCATACATCGAGAATTACGTACGTGCATTTTTAAATCGACGAGTCCGAGCCTGTCGACTAGTAGCAGAATTCTTTCTTCGTCTGTTTAGAGGTGAAGCTAGCTGTATGTATCTACAATAACTTTAACACTAGCAACAAAAACATCAACAATGATTGTCGGCCAAGCCAACTCAGAGTCGCATGTGAGTACCATGGCACCTCAGATGTCACTCCTCAAATTGCTATGCCTCGCTCCCAATCGTGAACAGATCGACGCGACTCACAAAGTCAGAATCAGCGCCAAAGGCCTGGCACCTAATGTGCTCTAAACGTACCGCGCGTGTTGTCGGATCGATGATGAACGGCTCTGGCCTGGCTGAGCTGCAAACTAACTAAGATGCGCAGGCTGACAGCAATACCGCAGTAGATGAGACGCCTCGTCTCCAACCTCGCTCTCATCTCATGTTTGAAAACATTTGATGCGGGTCAATTTGGACGTTTTGGCCGTGACATGAGGGTGAAATCCAAAAATAGGTACTTTGCTCTCTTCCTTCAATTTAGCTAGGTAAAGTCTGAAGAAACTACGCGGCAATTGCATGATCTTCGCCAGTCGTTACCCAAAAAATGTACAGCAATGGCGAAAATATCGTCCTTCACTTTCTATGCGTGTACTACCCTACTTGAATTGCGTGCAATCGACTTGTATGTTTCCCCTTGATATCAAGAACAGGCTTACTTCCACAATATTGTTCCCAAAACCCTTCTATGTTGGCTTGCTTGTACATGCGACTTCTAAGCGTGCTCCTATATTTATTTGCACCGATCCCATTTCCTCTCTTTCATAATAACCTGCACTTTTTACCAAAACGACCCGGTCCTCTCCCAGTCTGATTGGTGTTAATTCGAATCTTTGAGAAATGGCCCCACGTTAGCCAGGCCTTGCGTCTACCGCTTTTGGAAATTGAATCTCTTAATGGCAAAGATGACGATTCCCCAGAACGCGATCACAAACGCGCACATAATGAAAACTACCCACCCGAGGAAACTATACCGGTAGCCGAAATATCGATGGATGAAGTCAGCCACGCTAACAATCTGACCGTTCTGATCGGTGATGAACTCAGTGTCGATGTCGCCCAGCTGAGAGCCGACCAAACCGTAAAGACTCCAGGCGACTGCAGCAAAGAATCGGCCCTTCAGCGTACGTACCAGGGCGAGGGGAGGCGCAAACGCTAACATACGCTAATAAAGCAACAGATTTTGACAAGGTTCGCAAAGCCTTCCGATCGCACAACAAACGCACGAGACACGAAGGTATTGCGCGAGACTACATACACTTAGAAACCTCTGAGTAGACTCGATAATCTTACCAGGGTCAAGATACCACGCCCACACCCACCACCCGGGGACTGCAAGGCCGAAAGAGCGACACGTTAGCATAAGGGCAGAATAGGTCGAAGCAAACCGGAGCCCGGAAAATTCTACCAAGTTCTAGTTTCCAAGACGGTTAGATGTCATCAGGAGCTATCCACAAAGGCACGCGTTGCTTTGTTGGACCTAGAACGGGGTCTTCCTGCCGTGGCAAGAAGAAGCCGACAAAGAGGTTACTTCTGTAGTATACACCGGGTTTCAGACCCAAAAACGTTGACAGTGCAGAGACGCGTCTCGAGTGCTGCGCAGCCTGGCAGATGTAGCTCGCAAAAGTAGCAGAAATACTACTGCGTTAAAATCAAAACCTGAAACATGGAAAGATAGATGGCGCGTGCCGCTCACTGCGCGGCTGCGGCAGAGGAAGCCGAACGAAGTAAAAATTCGAAGACCTGAGTTTCGCACGAGATCGATACGCCAAAACGCCGAAAAAGCTATAGAAGCGCGTGCGCCATACTGCGCGGCCGCAAACAAGAGCAGCCCAGCAAATCAATGAGCCTGAATCTCTGATAAAAGATGAGGTCAAACCCCGTCTCCTGAAAGCGCTCCAGAGGCGTGTGGCTTACTGCGCGGCAGCGGCAAGGGCAGCCGAGCAAAGCGATACTGAAGGTCTAGCAATGTGTAGGTATCAACCCACCATTCTGAAAACGTTATAGAGGCATGTGGGCTTACTGCGCGGCTGCGGCAGGAGGAAACTCACAAGGACATAGAAACCCGAAAACCGAAACCTAGAAAAAGACCAGTTCGCTAGAAAGGCGCGTTTGGCTTACTGCGCGGCCGCGGCAGGAGGAAGCCGGCGAAGAGGTTGAAGATGGAGTAGAAGGCGGAGGAGATGACGGCGGCAAGCTGGACGTTGGGCGTGATGGCGACGGCCATCATGCCGTAGAAGGTGAAGATCATGAGCGTCAGGAACATGAAGAGCGTGTACCAAAAGAACTTGGCTGCAGGAAAAGAAGCGGAAGAGGCTTAGTGTTTGATCTAGGAAAAGTGACTTGAGAGGGGCAGAGGTTCAAGGCGTGTTCCGGAAAACTTGGCGTGAGGAAATAGATAATCGTACGAGGAATCGACGATAGAAAGAAGACGTCAGCGGAAACAGGGTGAGCGCAGAAGCATTCAGCTGACAGGGAAGATGCAAGAGGAAGCATTTCGGGCATCAGTACCTAAGGAACGTGCGGAAGGAGGACATTATCAACAATAGAGTGGAAGACTGTCAGGATACACATAAAATAGAGAGACTGCAAACGAAGAGGAGAACGCTGCGATGGGGCGACGGCTATGACAGAGGAAAGGTCTTGGGTTTGTCATGAATTCAGCAGAAAGCCTGGAAACGTAAAACGCATATCCTCGAGTTGCATGGACCGACGAACGAGCACGCCAAAACGTTTTGGACCACCTGAACCGCACTCCCCAACTGAACTTACCCGCCGTCCATTGGAAGTGGATCATAGCGTATGTGATGGCGCTGTAGACAATGGTCTGGGCCATGACGTAGGGGAACTCGATGAGGCCCTGCGCCAAAAACATACCGCGTTAGAGTCCATAACCCACTCATGTCTAGACGAAGGCAATTAAAAGACGCGAGATAGCAGACTGCATGCTCACCGCAGTCCGCTAAGCAGAAGCAATCTGACTTGAAATGCACATTTCTCACACCCCGATCTCGAGGTTGCAGTCAGAACATCCCATATATGAGCTGTAACGATCAGCACACCGTTGCATCCGCTAGCTTTGACCGTGCTGCCGTGACTTGTCCCAAAAAAGTGCATTACGCACTACACAGGCGAAGGAAAACCAACCAAAAGGGGTCAACGACACTCAATAAACAGGTACAATTGCAGTACCTGGGCAATGGCGTACGGAATGGCGGAGTACATGCCGGCGGCCCTTTCGCGGTACGACACGCCGCGCTCGACGGCGACCACGGGCTGCACGGTGGACGCGTTGTTGACGCCCAAAAACAGGACGACCGCGTACAGCCCACCGGCCACGTTCAGTACCTGGCCCAGGTTGCCCCTGCAAATCGTAACTGGAAAGTGTCAGGGCCGCGAGTTTTCGAACAGGGGGTTTGGCTTAAAAAACTCTGGAAAGAGTAAGCGTGTGCATTGTAAATTGCAGACCTGAAAATGACGAGGGTTTGATTAAGATGGCAGGTCTACAGACTCCAGTAACGGGTTTCACGTCGACTGAGACGTCTGAGGCACACTTGAGAAGCACGGCAACGTCCCCTCTCCAAACTTATTGGAGAAGCGAAGCCGAAGGAAGGCCGAAAAAAGACGAGGCCATCTTGAAGATAGGTGAAATGAACATCAGATGCTCCATAAGACGTCGACAACTTGATGATGAACAACAAAGCAGGATCCAAACAGAACAAGACCCCGCCACCGCGCACCTTTTGGTGCCCAGATTCCAGTAGATGCTTCCGAAGATGACTCCGACGACAGTGCAGAAGAGGAAGCGCACGAAGTTGTACTCGGGCGTCCGCCAGTAAGTGATGTTGTTCTTCCACAGCAGCGCCGCCGTCTGAACGAAGGGATTCTGCGGGTACTTCTTGTCGAACCGCAGGGGCTCCACGCCGGGCGCGGGTTTGGACTCCTCCTCTATCGTCCGCTCTAGGTGCCTGGGGAGAGAGAGAAAGTAGAATTGAGTACTTTCGTGATCGTTCTTTGATAAGCTGCTGTTGAACCACGATATTCTGCGGCTACTTCTGGTCAAATTGCAGCGGCTCCACGCCGGGCGCGGGCTCGGACTCTCCCCCAATCGTCCGCTCTAGTTGCCTGGACAGAGAGTCGAAGGAAAAGTGAATACTATTCCTTGTTGTTACGTGCAAATCTGCTGTTTATACTTAAGGGTTCCGCCGGCTTTGATCCTTATACTGCAAGAGGTTTACAAAGGGTGCGGGACTCCTCCCAATCGTCCACCCCAGTCGCCTTAAGAAAGAGCCAAGATTCATATGAGCACTTCCGAATGTTACGTAGATCCGCCGATTGCCTAGAGGACTCTGTTGTAATTTTGGCAATGCAAGAGCTTGCTTGTGCACAAAATCAGAACGCCCAGGCGTCGTTTTCTTCTTACAGCAAGCTTATAGTAGCGCTGGTGCAAACGTAGGCCGCAGAGTTGTGCAACGTGGTGTGACCCGAGATGTCTAGGCCGCAGAAGAGCCCAACTGGTCGCAGAAACAGTCCTCACTTGTACAGGTCGCTCTGCTTGAAGATGTCGGCAAAGTCCACGTGGAGCTTCTCCTCCATGCCAGGTGTCGTGCTGTCGAGCATCCACGCGGCCGGGTTGTACCGGGGGGGAATATCGGGGACGCCGGGCACGTGCTGCAACAAGGAGAGGAGGATCCTGGTTTAAGAAGATTTTTGGAAAAAAAAATGGCAACAATTCTCCCCTGCGTTCTCACGGCCCGGTATCAGCTCAAGCCCCTCATCAACCCCAATTTGAAATTGTCAGCTTTTTCAATAAATTAGAGAGAATCTGTTTCCGTTTCTTCATACTCTCATGTTTGAGAGGATTAGGCGGTGCATACGGGGCACCCCACGTGATAGCCAACGTGAGCAGGCGGAGTAATCTGCGGTTATTGATGTAGTCCTTACTTCCGTCATGACCACTGCGCTGAATGAAATGTTTGTCGAAAGATGCTCCCAGACAATTTCGTTCTTCACTTCTAGTGATGCTCCCAGACAACTCCATTCTCCACTTCTAGTCATATCAGGTCATTCAAACCTTCACGATAACACTTTCCCTTACGCAAAGAACGCGCTGACAACATTCAAGAACACAGTCGAAGACGCACCTTGAAGTACTTGACGAGCTCGCTCGAGTCCTTCCCGAGCGGCCCCGCGTAGATGGTGCGCCCGCCGCGCTTGAGCAGCAGCAGCTCGTCGAACGACTCGAAAATGTCGATGCTGGGCTGATGAATGGTGCACACCACCGTACGTCCCGTGTTCACCGTGTTGCGGACCGTCCGCATCACGATCGCGGCCGCGCGCGCGTCCAGACCTGCCGGGGGAGAGTGGAGAGCGCGTCAGCTGCTGGCGTCAGAATGACGCATGATTGCAATCGGGACTCATGTTCGACCGCCTCAACGGATGTTGCGGCTTACCGTAAAAGTAAGGCGAAGCCGCAGGATTCGATGATCAAAGGGCTTGCATTGCCTCAATGCATCGTGAACACTTGCCCTAGAGACCACTTCTTTCTCCAACCAAAAGGCCAAGTAACAGATATGAACGTTGAGCCTGGCTCCTTCAGTGCTCTCACCCAAGGCTGGCTCGATTCACCAGGTGGCAATACATGAGTTTCGTACCCACTTCCTTACGGTCTTTCTCAACATCTTTAGTTCCGATCGGTTGTGTTGCCTTCCTGCGCCTGCTTTTAGCTTGAAAGTAGAAAGTGAGGTTTTCCCGAAACCTATCGGATAGGCACCTGACGAACTCAAGATGATGACGAATCGGCCACCAGCTTGACGGCGATGGTAAGCAATTTCAAGCTGTATTTCAAGCTTCCCTTAAGCACAAGAACTGGTGAATCAGCCTTGGAAATACCCAGTTCAACTCACCTGACGTGGGCTCGTCCATGAAGATGATGGACGGATTAGCCACCAGCTCGACGGCGATGGTGAGCCTCTTCCGCTGCTCCACGGAGAGTCCGCTGCTGCCGGGCAGACCCACCAGCGCGTTTCGGATTCCGGTCAGCTCCACCAGCTCCATCACCTCGTCCACGAACTCCTGCACCGGGATGGGAGCGGAACCGCTTGGGAGGAGTTTTCGGCGTGCGGCATAGGTAGGGAGCCGAGAGGACACAACAGCAAAACATCGAGCCCCTAGATGATGGGGCATAAGTGGAAGAAAGCGGAGCCGGAAGACAGCGGAATCGGCAAGAAGCGGAGCCGGAGGGCGGAACCAATAGAAAGGGAAAAGCGGAAGATAAAGAAGCCAAAACATAGCAGAATTTTGTGGCCTTGTATTCGAGCGTTCCGCTGCGAGAACGGCCGTGGGCGGATACCTAATCGTGCAGACCCCCTTACCTCCGAAAAGTCGAGAAAACATGGATTTCGGCTTCCCATGTACAATCACTCAACCGACAAATTGGGACGGGCAGTGACCCATGACTCTGGTCTGTTGGTCAAAATCTTCCCACAGGTTCAACCAGGCCGCAAATCCCAGGATGCGGGTCTCAACCTTTTCTAAAACCTTATTCGAGGTAGTCAAGAGCAAACCGCCCAAAAGAAGCGCCGGCTCATATTGCCTCACGTTTCTGGTTTCTTTGTCGATGTCTTCCGCGAGGCGCAGCCAGGCGGAGAAGCGCAGGGACTCGAGGACCGTCAGCTGGGGCGAGTGGATGTCGTTTTGCTCCACGTAGCCCGAGACGCGCGCGAACGTCTCTTGCACCTTGGGGTGACCGCCCACGCGGATCTCGCCCTCGATGTACCCGCCTGCAGAAGGGGGCACGTGCCGGGGTCAGGAAAACTTCTCAAACAATCGTAGACTGATAAGCTGTGGGCTTCTTGAGATCAAATTCAACCGCAATAAGCTGCTTTGGGGAATAGTGCCACTTGGAAATTCGCCCCCGGGTGAAATCTGGCCTTCCAAAGCCGAAACAGGGTCTCGCCAGCAAGCCAACTAAGCACAGCCCAAACAGCTTCTCCAAGGGGAAGTCTTGACACTTAGTATCCCTAATGGCCTTGTGAAATCGCGCCCCTTCCTCATTCCCACGAACTTGGAAAACCCTTTCTCAAGACAAAATCAAAAAGCTCCAATCCCACGTTACCCTAGGCCTAAGTTTTGGGCGTCAGACAATTCGGCCCGTCACCTGTTTTCCGGCCGGCGAGCACGTCCATGAGCGTGGTCTTGCCCGCGCCGGAGACGCCCATGAGCGCCGTGAGCACCCCCGGGCGGAACGTGCCGCTGATGTCGTTCAGCAGCCCCAGCTTCTTGTCCTGGCCCTCCTTTTGGAACTCCTGTGCGGAATTTGAAAAAGAAAGCGTCAGCGGGATGCGCGAATCTACCTCTAGGCCGTGATCGAGACGAGATTGCGCAGATAAGCTGGTGCATCGAGACTGTGTCTTAGCATTGCAAAGTGGGGCTTGGGAGCAAGGAGATAAATTTCTCATTATCCCCATTTATCCTCCAAATTACAAATTGGTACCGCAAGCTGTCAATCAGGGACTGACTTGACAGACCAGGAAGTTCCCGCCTGTTTGCTTTCGCTCATCTCCACAACCACTTTCCAAACACTGAAACTCGCAGAACGGCCCGTTCGTGACTGCTCGATCAGTATTCTCAGCACCGCGGATACACCAAACCAACAGATCCATTGCGTCGGGACCACACAGGGAATGTAGCCTAGGGAATCGTCGGACTCTTGCTTGAAACCCACCTTTGGCATGTCGACTGCGTAGTTGACGTGGTGGAATGTCATGGCCAGCGGCTGGAAGGGCAGAATCATGCCCTTGTCGGCGACGCGCTCCAGGCTGGACCGCTGCTTGAGGCCGCCTGAAAACGGGTGCACAAAAGATTAAGCTTTCTAAGACGCAACTCGCATGTCTCGCCCAGGATTCGTACACTCCCGGGTACAGGGGACGAAACTTTATGCTGCTAACAGCATTCTATCACAACAATACAGAAAAGGTTCCAACGATCAGCGTGAGTTCATAGGCATCCCGCGGTGATAAGTAACGACCCAGCACCTAAAGAACCATGCAAGTACGAAACTTAAATACCCACAATTACCTCAGCTTTTGGACAACGGCCTACGCTCTTTCCCTGTCAGCAGCAAACAGCTTTCGAATGATTTCCAGAAGCGGTTCAAGTGATGGATGTCTCACTGCCTCTCTTGGATGACGTCATGGACAGGCGCTGGCGCAGGCTCCTGCTTGGCGCGCCGAGACCGCTCTTTGAGGCAGTGGTCTCCCGCTCGCCGTTTGGCCTGCCGTTGACAGGAACGATCCCTGCGGAACAATCCTCTCTTTTCTGAATGTAGTATTTTAGTACAACCTCTTTCTCGGACGCTGCCGGGCCACCTTTCCAGGACCAGTCCCCGCTGTCCAAAGCTGGACACATCAACATGAGTCGCCTGAAGTCATTGATCAATCGTGGCAAGTACCTGGTATAAGCGTAATCCCAACTTTGCAGATGCGATTCGTTCAGTGTTCTGAACATGCTCTACATAGGGTTTCACGAGTAAGAGGGTTTCTCGAGAAAAAGCGCTTCTGGCCAACTGGAGCATTTTTCACCTCCGAGGATGCAGTTATGCAAGATATACGAACGGAGTCGCAAACTTCTCATGTAAACAACAAAAAACCCTCCACGCCCTTACCGTTTCCGTTGACGTCCTCCATGCGCGCCGCTCCCGCCGCGCTCGAACGGTGACCAATCCGGCCCATCTCCACATCGCCTTCTGCAAAGAACAGAATGCAATTTACAATACTATTGCAGTTGCCATTATCGAAGGACGGAACACCAATGCATCGGCGGCCCAAAAAAGAAGCAAGGCCATAAAATGACTGTAAAAGACTGGAGCTTCCGGGTCCCGCATTTCACTGATTCCGCTCGCTCTATATGAATAAGCAATGAATGCAATGGAGCAGTTCGTGAGCGGATCACTGTCAAGATTGACAGCGCCTCGTAAGTGTTTGTAGCAGAGGGAGCTCGGAGAATCAGTTTAGTAAAGCCCCGTTCAGGCAAACTCCCTTCCCCAGAAGACAAGGAAAAGCGAGTCCAGATGTGGACCTCGTAACATCTGGTATTCCACCGTGAATAGCATGGAATGATGAATAACGATTGGCAATAAAGTTCTATCAAAATTCTACCTGCACCGTCGGCTTCACTGATTGGGGGCACCGAGGGCGCCTTGGCTTTCCCGCGGTCGGCGTTGCCCGCCTCAACGTCGCCATCTGCATAAAAAATCCTTTTTCAGCATCCTGAAGTATCCTCTTTTCCTTGAATCTGGATTTGACCAAGACCAGCGGAGCGCCTTTTGAGTCGACAAGGGAGTTTGACGTCTTTAGATGACAACAAAACCTTTTACTTTCACAGACTTCCACTCAAATTGATAGCTCCAAATGGTTGAGGACGAGTGTACAAAGTCCCGATTGAGAATTAACAACCGGGTTGAACGGACTCCGCAGCTTCTTGGCGATCGAAGCGCCCACTCGGTATAGCCTGCTCACATCCTAGGAGATGACACGAAGATGTCAAAAGCAGGCTGCTCACATCCTAGAAGATGACAAAAACATGTCAACGCCAGAAAGGTCTCCCAGGGGACTTCGCTAACAGCCATATAGAGCGGCTTGTCTGAATTGACGAGTCCAAAGAACTGACCAAGAGCGGTCATTCAAGAATGACAAGCTCAGCGCGCAAAACCGGACCCCGACTATCGCCCAAAGAGGGTCCATTATACCTTCGTCTGTTCTCGAGCCGCTGGGTGCCAGGTTCTTTGCAGAACCCGTGCCGTGCTGGATCTCGTGCTTCTCCTTGAGCGCATCCTCCGGAACAATCGCCTGGACACTGTCCAACGCTGCATCAATACAACAACGGGCTCACGTCAAGTCTGCACGGTTTCCGGATCCGCTGAATACCGTGGAACAAGAAAGCGCGGTTCTTTGGTTTCAAGAAGTAGTATAAAGAATTCCTCCGCAACTAACAAGAGTGGAGCATTTGAACGACAATCCTTCCACATGACCTGCACAAGGCGGACTTGTACCAGATTCAGAAGTGGAATGCGGTTGCAATTTCGACCAGAAAGAGAGAGAGTCGACTTACAAGGGAGGTACTGCAGGGCCAGGCTGACGAGAATGTTGAAAATGAAGTAGAAGCCAATGAGCGTAGCAAAGCCGACCCTGTAGAACACAACGTCAATGTCAGTGAGACTGAGACCATTTCAACCATTCCGCAGGATTGTAAGAAGCCAACGCCGTCGTGCTTGCTCCAAGGCGGCATCGCCTCTTGGTGTTTGACAAATTTGATTCTGGATCCAAGATCCATCCTTTTTCTCGTTTCAAATTCAGATTTGCACTTGCACCAGATTTGCACTTGCAGTACTTAAGCTTTCAAGCGAGGGTCGTATACCAGTCAATGACATGGATCCGACGAGTGTCGTTAGTATCAAAGTCAGAAACCCAAACTATTGACCATTTGGTCTGAATGAACCCTTGACAAAGATGCCGTCCCCGCATCCTATTAGACAGTGAGAGCTCAACGTTTCTCAGCTGCTCTTCAGTAAAAACAAGTCAGGGGCACCCGTTACCGACACCAAGTGTTGACTCTAAGCCACGCACTTCCAAAACGGCGCTTTGATCACAACGAATAGACCAGAGCCCTGAACACTGATCATTCTTGCAGAAACGCAAGAAGAAGCTGTGCGTGCGCACCAAATCCACCACTTGGCGGTGTGCAGGCCCCTCTGACGCAGAATTGCGAAGCCGAGAGTTTCGCTGGGATTCTGCGGGTTGGGTCTCTGCCAGCGGGGGGCGGTGAACTCGTTGACCGCGATCGCGTTCTGGGCGTAAGCCAGGGGACTGATCCAGTAGCCCCATACCCACCACGGCTTAATGTCGGCTGCACCAAGAACGACCGCGGGTTAGAACAAAGTCCTCGGGTTAAACCTGGGGTTAACATTCGGAGTAGGGCTCGCCTGTGCTGCAACCTGCTTGTTGCCAAGGGGCAAGAGTTCTTCATAAGTGGTCAAATAGGAACTTTGGCAGGTGTTCAGAAGGTCTGTGCATTTCTAGCTTCAAACGGGGAGTGTCGAAGTAGCATTATAATGCAAGCATGAGGGTGAAATAAAGAAACCAACGAGGCAGACACAGCGGCCAATCATGTTCTCAGCTATCTACTTATCCCGCATTTTCAGGGTCACTGGAGCATTCTTCAAAATCTTCAGACAAGCAACAATGTAGACCAAAGTTCGTCTACACCATGAATGGATAACATGGTCAAGCGCTCCCGGTGTGCTTCATAACCTCTGCTTCTCCTGTCACCAGTCTCAACTCAACACGAGATCTATTTGAAGCGCAACCCAGCACAAGTCATCGTGACGTCAGGCTACGAGCCCAATTTCCGGCGCACTCACGTTTGGACAGGATGAAGCCGCCGAGTAGAAAGATGACGAGGAGCGCGAAGGAGCCGCCAGTGTTTGCGATGACCATCTTGCGGCCGAGGGCCGCGATCAGGCGGAACAGCGCGAGCGCCATGCTGTGTACCAGCACCATCAAAAACCAGTACGTGAAGAACCTGCGGGTTAAGAAGTTTTGGGTTTAGATGTCAAGAAACTTTTGGGTCTAGGCGGGGGGGCACCAGCTAAGGAACTGTTGCGGAGGCCGCAGAGCCAAATGACCATTTTGCGCCCCAGGCCGGAAGAGCGCGAGCGCCATGCTAGAACCAGGACTGTCAGGAACCAGTACGTGAAGAACCTGCGGGGCGGAAGGAGTTTGACAACTGAGCGTGGGGCATCCGACCGCACTGACAACCGCAAAGCATAGAGAGATGCAATATCCTCCAATAATTGAAAATGTGCACTGCAAAACGACTCAAAAGGACGACGTCGAGCCCATCGAACAGAAGTGGAGAGCTTATCAGACAGGAGTGGCGAGGGGTTAGATTTGCTTTTTTTTTGGTTCGCTAGTTTTGAGCCACCGGAACAAAACGGCTTCTTGCTGTTGCTCAAGTCGCCTATGGTCTGAGTTGTTGAGAAGAGCACGTGATGACGCATGTAGAAGGTCTCGGGCCACTTGAGCGAGTCAGCGTCCGGGGCGAGACTCTTCGAGGAAGCCGAATGCGGCGATGCAACGGAGGGGGTAGATTGCTTCTTTTCAATCAGACAGCGAAGCCGTAGGACCGTGCATGTAGCAGTAGAGCGAACACGACAAACGCATTTTCGTCCAGTCGCAGAATACTTTGCACGACTAGCTAGCCTCTCGAAAGGAGGCCTTGAGTTGAGAACTGAAAAGGGAGAACTTGGCAGTCTGCCTCACCTGTCCGCCTGAGGGGCAAGCCCAACCACCTGCAAGGGGAAAAGCAAAGCAACATCAAATCATGCGCTTCAAACTGCCAGCATATGCCTTATCTACTCGCTGTACGGAAACAAGTACTACAACGAGTCAAAGAACGCTCGATGAACGCAGGTTTTGGGCTACGTAAGAAAGCCCGTGATGTGCGTGATATGCGAACACCCTATCCCTCAACCCTAACTGACGCACGTAGAAGGCAGCCCAGAGGTGCTTTCGTGTCTCGAAGTAAGTAGTCTGAAGATCGACTCACTCTCCAAATCAAGCCTTCTCATAAATAGCAATCTCTTGGCCCGCCTCTTCCACGCCCCTTACGACTCGATTTACAACAAGGAAAAGCGCGCTGCACACCGCAGCTTCGCAAGCAAAATGACGTCAGCATGACGATCCGGTGCACTCACGTAGTAGACAATGACTGTCCAGATGGTGGCTTCCGCAAACGAGTACGGTATGCGGAGTACCGCCGTCGGCAGATTGAGCGCCCAGCCCGTGTAGAACAGATTGTCGCGCTGTCGGTAAAATACCGGCAGGCGGCCGACCTGGAACCGCAAGGGCGACACTTTTTCAATAGCAAGAATTGCTCGCACCAGTGCTCTTTAGGCCCAAGAGCTGGAAGCAAGTGTCAGACGGAGTTCTAAAGCACGTATCCTGGGAATGAATAGGTGGAAAAAGGCGCTCCGTACAATCCTGCAAAAATGTATCCTTACGAAGGCAACTTTTAACAAAATGAGATGATGCATATTATGCGGCTCAAGACAAGAAGCAGACGGGACCTCGTAAAGGACCGGCACAAGAAACCCGAGGTTTGGTGAAGTCCCCTTCTTATCGCTCTGATCCAGAGAACTTGGCCGCTTCACCTGACTTCAGATTCGGACTTCCGCAAAACAGTAAGCCAAGCCTTCGGTGACCCAAGCCTAATTCCAAAACGTCTAACTTTCCTTGACCATACAGGGCTGGACTGGATCATTCAGCCAGGCTTTAAAAAACGACTTGATTCGCGTACGCACCGTGATAGCGAGCTCGGAGAATCCGTTGAAGAGCATGTGTATGAGCGAAAAGAAGAGGACGCCCAGGTAGATGGGTCCGTCCTGCAAGTTCACGCCCAGCGTCGTGCGGAAGAAGAGCGTCGCTGTGATGAACGCCACGATGCCGCACTGCGCGCCGCAAGAGAGACCGGTTATGTTACCATTAGGGTCTTCGTTATCTTTCTCTAGACTTTAAAAGAGTCTATCAGACTGCGCGTTCCGGAGGTTGCACCCTGCAGAGAGAATCCTCTGAATTGGAGAGACTGTGCGCTTTGTAAAGCGCACCCGCAGAAGAATCATCATCTACGCGGATTCCTGGTGATGATGGTCGGGGATTGGACGAAGGACAAGTAGCCAACAGAGTCAAAGCCCTCATGCAGACTAGAATCCATGAGAAAGCTGCTGCGTTTCGCTAGCCCTGAGAAGGCACCGACAGCCGCCACCAAGCAGCAAACTTATATGGCTTTACGTTCCAACTCAGATCACCTATTCCCACGGCTTACCTGCACGGTCCGGAAGGTGTAGAGGAATCGGTTCCGCTTCATCAGGATGAGTTCGCGCCTGAGAAGTGCTCGGAACATTGCCCACCGGTTGAGCGCGTACTTTTCCTTGGGGAGTGCCAAAGGTTTGGCAGGTTGCACCGGTTGAGACAGATCCTCCCGGATCTCCTGGCCCCACCGGCTCTCCTTGAACGCCGCCGCGAAGGCGGACACCGGAACGAAGCGGTACGGCTCGCGGCGGTTCCAGTATTGCTGCGGATGAAACCGGGTGGATGCGTTAAGGAACACACGCAACTGCTTCCAGAGAACACAACTGCTTCGAGAATGAGACGGTGGTAAACGCCAATCTGTCAGAAGTTTCAAAGGTAAAAGAATATGATCAACTTTACCGTTCGCTTTCTGCAATATGTCAGCTCCGTTCTGAACACTGGAGAATGAGGCTGCGACTGGTCCATACTCCACGGCGTTTCGTTTACGACATCATATGTGTGAAAGCAAGACAGCAAATCAGAGCCGCACGTCATTCATTAGCGTCGAAATCAACACGACCGCCGGCTCCTTCAAGTAAGTGCCGTTCTTAGCAAGGATCTCAAGGCACCTCCACGGTAAGAAAACCATGGGCAGTCCTGAGAACGCCAAGATCTCAAGGCACCTCTACGGTAAGAGAACCATGGGCAATCTTGCGAACGCCGAAGTGAGGATCTGAAAAGATAAAAAGGGAATGAACGCGTACCGCTTGATCCTTCTTGGAGGTGACCTCCTGCAAGAAGTCGGCGATGCCCTTCCTCTCAGGGGGCGTGAAGCCCAGCGACTCGAAGAAGCTGAGAACCTCAGTCACCGGACCGTGGAACACCTGACGACAAACAGAGAGATCCCTATGAACAATTGAAATGCGTTCTGGACAAGAACTGGAAAGTTCCTTTTTGGATTGTGGCCCTGAACAACGCAACCGATATGAAACGAATACTGCTTTGCAATGTTTCGGAACCTCCACACTTGTTTGAGAGGTGGCCCCTGAAACTTTGCCCCAGTATGATGCAAATCAGCAAAACCATCCGACCAGCGAAAGGGCTTCTGAGCCAAAAATCAGCGGTTACAACGTAGGAGGGAGGAGAGTGTACCCACCACGTAGCCTTCGCTCAGCAGCAGGACGTCGTCAAAGAGGTCGAATGCCTCGGGTGCTGGCTGCAGAAGGGCCATCAGAACAGTGCCCTGTAGAAAAGAGAAAGCCCAACTGTTAATCCCGACGTCTTCGAGGGACGCCAAAGACATACGGCCTTGTTCGCTCAAGGATAAAAGCCCAGAAAACATAGCTGGTTGCGGCTGACGGGTCCGTGGGCCCCTTTTTCCGTGGGCCCCTTTTTGTCTCCATTCTCTCAAGGCTCACTTCGAAAAACTAGAACCCCTGTGCTACCAGCACAATCGAACTCTCAGAAAGCAACGTGCCATTCATGAAGAGTTACGTACCTCCATGAGGTGGGTCCAGTTTCTGACCGCCTTCACAATCTGGAAGGTAGTGGAGCTGTCCAGCCCGGTCGAGATCTCGTCCATGAACAGCGCTGCAGATGGCATAAAGACGTTCCGGTATCGTTCTGCTGGATTGGCTCTGCTCTCAGTTCTCCGAAGACAATTCCCCCGGTTTTTGAAGGCTCTCACAGCTAGCCGACAAAGTCTTCTCAAAGATGCCCATGTCTTTCCGCGACTCCAGCCAAGAATAATACACCCACGTTCTTCCACTACCTGCTCCTTTCAAACCCGACGTGTATCCGTCGAAGAACAACCAGCTGCTCCTTATTCTCTAATATATGGCCGCTTTGAGTGCACTTTGTTGAAGCGTTTCTTCAGGGCAGATAGGCGAGGGCAGATAGGCGAATACAAGAAAGGATGAAGCTTAACCTTATAAGGCCATGGTTCGACCTGATCTCACCTTTCTTGGGGCCAACAATCATCTCCCCCGTCGTGACACGCTTCTTCTGCCCGCCCGAAATACCGCGCATCATCTAGTGAGAAAAAAAGTTGCGCCGCTTTCAGAAAAGAATTACACCGCTGCACTTGCTGAGAGAAGCCTAAGGAAACAGCATTACCATCGTTGATGGCGGAGCAATGTCAATACGAATGCAAAGATGTGTAAGCTGAAAGTGTCGCTGTCGATAAGTCTTGTCGTCTTGAAGTTTCTTTCCTAATAAACGAAACCTTCGTGCAGGCATACGGACAATGTCTGAAAGCAAACAGAGTCCAGCCTGTTTGCAGTCCCGCTTCTGGTGGAGTATTTCCGACGGACTCAAATCAGGCTCACCTCATTGCCGATGACAGTATCTGCGGCATAGTCCAGGCCCAGAACTCGAAGAATGTACTCAGTCCCCACGTTCCGCTGCTTGTCAGGCAGTGTCGAGGCCTGCACGACGCAGATAGCTTCCAGATTGCAAAATGCTTCGAGACGGATGTTACCATATCAAACAGTATCTGTCTCAGGAATCAGTGCCGTTCTTCCGAGTCAGAGCATCCGTCTGGAAGGCGCTAGCGCCTTTCATAATGCACTCTCACAATGGACTTCAGTAGTGCAAAGTCCTCACCACACGCAAGCCCTGCCTAGGACGCCAGACCAATCTAGAATGAAAAGAATCTATTTTTTGAATTTGCAATATACGTTCTTGATATATTGTCAAAGTGGTCTTACCTTGACAAAGGCGTCGATGTCTGGGTCGGGCGCAATCTTCTGGGACTGCTCCCTTTTAGTCAACTCGTCAATCATTTCTGCGCGAGTCATGAGCACCGTTCAGCTTAGGGATCTCAAAAAAGTTTCACCTTACATAGCCTTTCCAAACGAAGTGAGTACCAACTGAGAGTGGGTGCTTGAAGGTTCGGAGTCTTCTCCTTCAGACAACGAAAAGCAGTCCTCTCTCAACCGAAACGTCGTCAATCAGAGCAACGCAATTCAAGTGGTTAGCAAACGCAGCGCAGGAGTTCTCACCCGTCTTGTATCCAGGCCCCTGCACTCGGGTGGCGAAGTCGAACGTCTCTCGGACAGTCAGCTCCCCGGTGTGGACGTCGCTCTGGCTGATGTAAGCGCTGACGCGCCGCGGTTCGAACTCGTGGATGTCGACACCGTTGTACGTAATCTTGCCCGTCACGATCAGGTCGCTCGCAGCCTTCCCGGCCAGGGTCAGGAGAAGGGTCGTCTTTCCGGAGCCGGGAGGGCCCAGCAGCAGGGTCATCCTCCCCTGAAGGAAGAAATCAAAATCAACTTCGTTCCTTGTCTTCGTTACTTCGAATACTTTGGCGAGATAAGCCGTATGCTGATCAACAAAGGACGTTTCCTGCACAAAGTGCCTTCGGACTACCTACCCAACGCAATAATGAGCATGTTTGCGAAACACTGTCAAATGAACCTAGTTTTGAAGAGGTGCAAAAGTGCTGTCGGTAGGGATGCCTTACCGGCTTCAGGCGTCCATTGACGTCCCTCAGGATGGGGAAATCCCGCTTGTTGCTCTTCAGCAAGCCCAGCCGTTGCAGAGGCATCTGAAAACAACAAGGCGGGTGTTCGTGGAAAGACACAACTTGCTTGCGGTTTGGAGCCCAAGGAAACACAACATAACCCCGTTGTAAGTATCCTCTTCCACTTCCAAAGGAGGAGGTTTGCCTTCTCTAGGGTACAAAATCCAGCATACAATCCCTCCAAGGATGTGTCTCCGAGTAAAAACGAGAAAGCAATCAGAACAGCAGTATCGAAACGAGAAGGAATCGTTTCAATCGGGCCATAGTCATTACCACGGTGCGCATTCAAAATCTCGAGGGCGCAGTGTTTGAACCTGATTCAGTACCCCAACGGCACGGCACTCCACTCAACTAGCTTCCAATTCGAAAGCTTAACAACGCTGGCACAACACTTCAAAGCAACTCACTTGAATAAGGTTGAGGGCTGCGTTGGTAAGACTTGGCAAAGCGCGGCTTCCGACATACACCTTAGCGGAGATGTTGAGGTCTTCGTATCGAACTTCGACAGTGGGAAGCTGAATCCCAACCCTGTGTCAACAGTACAAGGGCGTTCAGTGAAGGGGTCAGCTGAAGCTAGGTAGCCTTTACGCAGCTTCTCCCAGGTCAGAGAAGGCAATTTCATCTAAAGAGAACTTGCCACAAGGATGTTGAGAGGATCACAAAACGGCTCAACGGGCAACAGGAATTTGTGGTTTCCTAAACTCGATGCCAATACCCAGGACCGGTTGACGCTCATAGGTAGCAACTCAACTACTAGTGCTGGCAATGGCTCAGACAACTGCCCAGAAAATTTGATGCTGACTCTGGGCAGATCAAGAAAGAGTGGAATGCAAAAGAGGATTGATTTAAAAAGGAGATACTTTGCAGCTAATGGGAAACATGGCTTGCCTGTCTATTCTCTCCCTCAGCTTTCGCAGAAACTTCTCATTGTCCTGGTCGGTTGTCTGCAGCGCTTTGTCCACAATCGCACGATGCTCATCAGGATTCAGGTGGGAGATGTCGATCTGGCCCAACTTACTGGTCTGCTGAAGGTAGTCATGGAATCTGGCAGGGAACAAGGAAAGTGAAGCTTGTAGATCTAAATCTACCACTTGTTGTACAGCGTGTTCTTCAACGTCTTTGGAAGTCTGCAGCAGTTGGCACGGTAAAAGTAACAGCTTAACTGGCATTAGTGGATTATTGGCAGGCCTTATATGTGCTTGCTTGCAAAAGCAATGTCTCTGGTACAAAAGTAAGTGGTATATTGACTCCCTATTTGCATGCCAGCTCAGCCTTTTTGATGTTTAGAAATGTCAGCAAAAAGCACATCAAGCCTCTATGAACAGCGTTTGAGCAGTCTCCTGATCGACTAATCAGGTGAGCTCGCGCTTATGCGAGCTGTCAGAAGTGAAGTCGTAAGTGCAAGTTTGAAACCTTTGGGCATCATGTCCCTAAGTCAGTCTGTGTCACTCCATGCACGAATGAGCGTTGTACATACAAAACCTTGCAACACAGAACTTCAATAAAGTGTCCAGTGGGATGATAAGGGCTTCATAACTCGACACAGACACCTTATAGTAGCAGTACTTGTGTATGCAAGTCAAGCTGCAAGTCAAAATTTGACAGTGGCTGCAATAGATCACATGCAGCTGCTGGTCTCCAGCCAACATGCATGCTGGCCATGCATCATCTGAGGACGAATAACACTACCATAGAGCAAGCAGCACCACTAAGAAGCAAACAACAAGCCAGATTGAGCCTTTTCAGCTGCAAGATTTGCACGGTGGTCGCAGCAGCTCAACAACAGCTTCAGAGCACCACCACCATGTGTGAAAGCAGAAAGCCAACGTAAAACCTCCAGCTTTCTTGACAATGTGCTTCAGGGGGCCTTCAGCGCACCTCTCATCTTTCGGCACGGTGGCAAGTCTCATGCGATCCCTCCCTGACAAATTTTCCAGGGCAGCCTCTTGCAAAGCCTCCTCGTCGATCCTGCTCCTTGAGGGCCCTGACTCCTGGAAGCTGAAACTCTGCCTCGGCAGGCCTTCCCCAAGGTCGGCCGCCGCCATGGTGAGACGAGCTCAAGCTCAATGCACTGCTGTGAGGTTGCCTGCCGCCTGCTCGCGACAATGGCCGTGCAGATTCAAATGGTGGTGTGCCTGTTTTACGGACTACACCATCAACCTATTCAAGTGTTGACCACTCCACCTATCTGATCAGAGAATGATCCAGAATGCAGCTGAATCCTAATCACCAAGAGCTGGTTCCTTCTTGAAGAACTCAAAGCACTCCAGCCCTGCTCTTGTCGAAGAGTGACTGCCACAATGTGCTGATGGGAAGTGGGCGTGAGCAATCTTGCCTCCTCGATTCTGTGGCTTCGAAGCGTCTAGGCTCTACAGTATGTATTCATTGCCTTTCTTTGTGGGCGAGACACGGAGGCGACCACCTTTTGACCTTTGGCATAATCCTCTCCACAAGCCGCCCACATATGATTACGAGCCTTCGCGCTCTTCAGCTTTGCTGATCTCAGGGCGGTCGTCAGCAGAGTCCAGCTGTAACGCTGTGGGCGCAGCATTTCCATCTTGCATACGACGTAGCCTGGCCTATGCCTGACACGTGGTGAGTCGAGGTTGCAGACCAACTGTGTTTGCGGATTCTCCTTGATTCTGTTGGGTCTTCTCGACGAATCAGAGACCTAGAAGGTAGTCACATGGTACTGTGTAGACTCTCGAGCTTCGCAGCCCGTCCGAATTTTGGAAGGGTTGTAGATTACCGTCCGATAAGCTAACTGAGCAGTCGTTTTGCTCGGGCCAAATCGATGCATACCTAAATTTAGGACCTACCGTACCTATGCCAATGCCATACTTCTACCATAGGTACTCCTATTTACCATAGGCCAGGCCCACAGTATCGCAAGCTAGATCGAGGGGCTCACTTCACATTTACAAATGTAGCTGGGCGTTCCATGAAAAGGCCAGCTCTAAGGAAAAGCGCGAGGGGAGAGGGTGAGCTAGAATGTGAATGTAGAGAAGATACAAAATAGGCTTTGGCATTTGAAGGATTGATCCTGCATTAATAAGGCGCATGGCAGTGCGGAGGATGTTGCGGGGCGTCATCTTTGATATGGATGGGTGAGTTCCCATGGAGCTCAGAGATCCATCGAATGCAATGCTGGACCAGACCATGTCAGATTCTGCTCTCACTTTTTGTTTAAAAAGACAAACAGCTTATCTGCTCTTCTTCCAGCCACTCTGGTGGCTTTCCTGTTCCAATGGCATCATCTGCATTGCATTACATTTAGAAGGTTAAGTTTGTCAACTACGCTCTCTTTGTCAGCTCCGCTGCGTCATCTGTTCTTGGATATCTGCCACTGCGAGCATGTTTGCGGGTCGCTGAATCAATCTGCCCTTTTGATTGTCCAACATGTTGGCCCCCTAAAAGTTGCTTGCTGAGGTAGTGCGTGTATTAAGCGGCACCACCGCATTGAAATCGTTGCTGAGATTCCTCTCATCGTGACACATTTTCCAAAGCTCCTCAGAGATTCTCAGACTGTGCAAGGACCAAAAGTGCAAGGAATGTTGAAAAGCAGTTGACGCCACTCGGTAGATTTCAAAAACTGTCCGTTGCTTATTAAGAAGAGTCACCCTGGGCATCTTCAAACGTGCTCGTCAGGGCCAGACCTTCACCTTCACCATCCTAAAAGAATCGTGCTTTTCTGTGGTTCACTTCTATCTGCACATCATTCCCTTGAGGATCGTGCTTTTTTGTTCTTACCTCCACTCCCAGAGTCAAGCCATTGACATTGCATTTGGTGCTTAACCAGGTTTGCTGACCATGCAGGACGCTCACCGTGCCTTGTCTCGACTTCTTCGAGATGCGTCGGCGATGCGGGGTCACTCAGGGGGACTTGCTCGTGGAGATTGAGAAGATGTCTCCAGCCAAGAAGCAAGCGGCGATTGATGTCATCACGGAGATGGAAACAGAGGCTAAGGAAAAGATGGAGATCATGCCAGGTGAGGGAAGCGGCCAATATGTCCTTTTATATCCCTCAGTTTGCTTTCACGTGACTTGTACTTGATTTTAACTTTCACCGCTTGTGTACGCTTCTGTCGAGTTGGTCCTGTTATCGGCAATCTGATGGTTGTCTGTTGAGCACCTCCATAAATGCAAGCTGGTAATCAAGCGACTGGTTTTTGTAATGCAGACACTGGAAATGGTTCTGAAGAAGAGGATTGACATTTCTTCAGCAAAAGTCTGGCTTGATTCCGGCGCAGTGATGAGTACTTTCACTGGGTTCTAACAGTTGATTCAAAGCTTTAGGTTAACCATTCTGCTATGAGTAGCCCTGACCTGAGTTGCTTGACACTTGAGTAGGCTTTCAATAGCTGCATCATAAAAGCTGGGCCTCCTTTCAGTACTATCAAGCCTTTCATACTGCGCTCGTGCTTTGAAGAGAGGGCTCTCATTGATTGTTCGTATTCATGAGGTTTTACCTCTCATGCAGGGGCCAAAGATCTCTGCGACTTCCTAGATCAGAGGAATATTTGGTGAGTATTGCAATTAGTATCCTTGCGGTCTCTCTTGAGATGCTCGAGTTCTGGACAGATTTTCAAGAAGAATCTAAAAGATGGCGCGCTGAAATGTTCTTTCCCTTGCAGTAATCTGTTGGGAAGATCAATTTTAACGAGCCTTTTCATCAGGATAGCAAATCAACAACTTAGTCGCCTTGAAAAGTTTCGCGGACGGATAACGGCCAGTGCTCTCGACCAATCAGAACGTAAGGAATGTCTGCATTGGAAGTGAAGGGCACAGTTGAATCATTCAAAAGTGCACCGGTAGTACCTGAGTTAAACAGTGCCAATAGGGACAGGTCTGATGAACACATCTTGAAGAGACCCTCTCATTTCAGTCAAGGCAAAACGATTTGTTGGCCAGGGCCGCTGTGCGTCTCAGACCGTTGTGTTGTCATGGCCAGAGGCTTTGTGCTACAGGCGCGGCCTCGTCACACGCAACGTCAGCTCGTCCGTCGACCACCTCCACCGCAAGATGGGGGTGAGACAAAGCGGTCAATATGACCCTCGGAACTTCTGCCCGTTGTTTCTCTGTTATCAATTAAAGCAATCACGAGAGAACGAGCTTTCCATTCCAAAAGCTATTATTTGTATGCGTAGCGGAGAAAAAGATTGGGTAGGGCCGTATGAAAGGAAAGATGATCTTGGCGTTGCGACCTAAGCATCGCTCGGTCACAGGGCCTGCAATGGGCCTACTTGCTGGGTCATAAACCTAAGCCTGTGCATATCGACATCTTACCTGGTTTCCTATCCTTCCCCATTCGCACTTGTTGCGGAACTGCTCGGCTCCTGTCGACTTTGACTTTTAACCACTCTCTCGCTCTGCGCGCCTGGGCCTGCTGTGCTTCATTTGTGACGGCCGAGTCTTACTTTCCTGGTTTTTCCAATCTTCTTTCTTTTGTGGATTTCTGAGCTCCTGGAATTTTGGGGTTTCTAAAAGAGAACAAAACGCGACTTCTCCGAAGCAGGAACTCGAGTTACTAGAAGTAGATGAGGAACTCTGCTCGTGACGACCTAGATCTGGCTTTGCATTCTCGAGGTCTACCCAAGCTGACGTCTCCCGGAGTTGGCGCACCAAATTCGCCACCTGCAGGTCAGGTTATGAAGCAGAGTCCTCTGTTTCTTTTGATCGCAAATGGGACTAACGCCCCAGCCGTGCTCCGCTGCCTCGCAGATAACGCCGTTCTGGCCGGCGCTCGCTCGCGACTTCTTGCCGTTCAAGCCGGACCCCGCGCCGCTGCTGCACATCTGTGAGGCGTGGAAGGTGCAACCATCGGAAGTGATGATCGTCGGGGATAGCGCCCGGGACGATGTGAGCCACACGCTCCTATTGCTTCACTGAAGTTGATTTGCTTTTGTGGGATCCGGCTGTAGGGAGCAGAAAGTGCATTGCCGTAAAAGAACTCGATGAAGGGGCCGGAAAACCGCGTTGACGGTTCAAATGGGTTTGTTATTTTTAGTTACAGTGTACGGGTTCCAACCGCAATGGACGCTGTTGTCGATTTTTCCAATACATCCGGTCAAACATGAACGTTCATAAGTTTATTTAACGATCTTTCGCTGTTGGCGCCCATCAGCTGGGATTGATACTTTTTTTTACCGTTACAAGCACGATTTTGGAAGATCATCTTGGAAAGTGATGCTTTGCTCAGCTAGTCAAAGTTACAACTTCCTTCTTACCTTTTCTTCAATTCAAGGTTCGGGTCGTCAGGAGATTGGTTGCAACGGTCGTAATGGTCAATCGTTGAGCTTCTTGTGGAAATGTTTCTCTGGATAAAATCTTGTGGGTCAATGATGAAAAGCCTTTCCCGCTTGTCAAATCTGTTTACGAAAACTCGGCAAACATCGTGATTCTGTTCATATTTGTTGAGGAAGCCCCTGCCTTCGTGACATCGTTGTTGGAATCCCGCTTTTGAGGAATTGAGAACCTGCTGCCATTCGAAAACCCATGCTTACAAACATAACGTCGCCTTGCGTGCAGATTGTCATGGGGAGAGTTGCTGGCTCGTACGCTGTTCTGATAGACACGGAACAAAAGTATGGGCCCATTGAATCCCTTCCAGAGTTGCAAAGGCCTCATTATAAGGTAACTTCATTAGCAGAGGTCGGCCACATTCTGCAAACCAAATTTGAGTTGGTGCCAAAGGAGGGCGTTGCTGAAAGGGAGTCAGCACTATGATGACATCGCTGCCTGGTTGCTCTAGGCACACTGAGCGGCGACCACATGGATAAAATCCGATCGCGCTTTTCATACATTGATAGCTCATGGTCATGCGGCCTGCAATAACTTCACAGTGAATCCCTACTAAAATTGCGCAGCGCATGCATGCAACCGGCCTTTCACCAGAATTTTATGAGCGAAATCGTTATGGGCAACGATCGATATTGCAATCTAGTTATTGCTTCCGGCTTCTGCTTGATACAGGAACAGGCTTGCTAAGTGATCAGGCCAAACTAAGTTGCATGCAGCCTCAAGTTCAAACAGAAGCAAGTACAGCCTACTCAACGTACGTGTGAAATTTGATTACGTAACATGTCGCGATTTGAATGGGTTCATGGCGGCAGCATGCAGGCGCGCACTACAACAGGTAAGCGATCGATGGCAGGCACTAAGTACAGACCTGATCGATGGCAAAGCCCCGCAAGAATATAAGGA